GCGCGTGTTCTGAATGTGCACGTGTGTGTGTGTGTGTGTGTGTGTGTGTCTGTGTCTGTGTGTCTTTTCTGAATGAATGTGTGTGCTTTGAATGCATGCATTTCTGTGTGTGTTCTAAATGCATGAGTGTATGTTCTGAATGTGTGTGTGTGTGTTCTGTATGCATGTATGTGTGTATTCTGAGTGTGTGTGTGCTGTATGTGCACGTGTGTGTGTGTGTGTTCTGAGTGCATGTGTGTGTTGTGAATGTTTTCGTGTGTTGTGAATGTGTGTGTGTGTTCTGAATGTCTTTGTGTGTTGTGAATGTGTGTGTGTGTGTGTTCTGAATATGTGTGTGTGTTCTGAATGTGCCTGTGTGTGTGTTCTGAATGTCTTCGTGTGTTGTGAATGTGTGTCTGTAGTCTAAATATGTGTGTGTGTTCTGAATGTCTTCGTGTGTTGTAAATGTGTGTGTGTAGACTAAATATGTGTGTGTGTTCTGAATGTGTGTGTGTGTGTGTTCTGAATGTCTTCGTGTGTTGTGAATGTGTGTCTGTAGTCTAAATGCATGAGTGTATGTTCTGAATGTGTGTGTGTGTGTTCTGAATGCATGTATGTGTGTATTCTGAGTGTGTGTGTGTGTGTGTTCTGAAAGCGTGTGTATTATGTGTTCTTAATGCATGTGTGTGTGTGTGTGTGTCAGGTGTCCTCCACGCCATACTACACCTTCTGTTACGACACCATTCAGTCAGATGAGGAGGACGGCAGCGTCAGCATCTCTGATAAAGCTCTGCGTCACACTGTGCTCAGCAACACACTCCTGTCCTCATTCCACCCCAGCCAATCAGACGCCAGCGGCACACGGGTGAGACACACACACACACACACACACACACACCAGGAGTCACAAATACTTACTGCTATACTTATTCACAGGATTCATCACTACACAGATAGAAGCTACAAACATAAATGTTGAAGTGTGTCTATTAGTATTGATGAGTTATATTCATTTATTCATTCATTCATTTTCTTTTCGGCCTAGTCCCATTATTAATTAGGGATCGCCACAGCGGAATGAACCGCCAACGATTCTAGCATATGTTTTACACAGCAGATGCCTTTCCAGGGGCAATCCAGTACTGGGAAACACCCATACACACTCAATCACGCACACACACACACTATAGCGCATGTGTTTGGACTGTGGGGAAAACCGGAGCACCCGGAGGAAACCCACACCAACACGGGGAGAACATGCAAACTCCACACAGAAACACCAACTGATCCAGCCGAGACTCAAACCACCGACTGACCCAGCCGGAACTCGAACCAGAGACCTTCTTGCTGTGAGGTGATCATGCTACCCACTACACCACCGTGCTGCCATGAGTTATATCACACTTTTTTTTTTCAAAATCTAGAGATATATTTATTAAAGTAGACTCTTATTTTGAAACGAGTCTGCTTAACTTTTTTTCAAGCAAAATAAAGGGAGGGAGAAAAAAAATAATGCAAACACACACACACACACACATATGTATAAAGGAAAAATTATTCCTCCTGTTGTGAAATTGAAATGATTTTTGTTTAGATTTCCCAAGTGATGTTGAACAGAGTAATGATATGTTTCAGAGTGTTCCTTATTCTGTTTTGTCTTCTGGAAAAAGCTCATTTATTTTAGTTTGGGCGGGTTGTTGCTAGATCAGATATGGATGCGGCCGGAAGTTTTAGAAGAATTATTTCTATTATTCATAAAATTTCCCATTTATTGTATTTTTTTAACACCTTCCCCCACCCTAAACCCACCCCTCACAGTCCTGTAAAATATGAAGTACTGTTATACAGTGTCATAAGAAATGCTGCTGTATTGATGTGCATATCACACTTCCGGCCGGCCGCGTATCCCATCTAGACTTTACTGTTTGGGTGGAACAAAAATAAATAATCATAGAAAAAACTGCTGTGGTCAATATTATTCTCCCCTTCAGCAATATTAGTGTTGGATTGTCTCCAGAACAAACCACTGTTATACAATGACTTGCCTAATTACCCTAACTTTACCCTAATTACCCTAGTGAAGCCTTTACATGTCACTGTAAGCTGAACACTAGTGTCTTGAAGAATATCTAGTCTAATATTATGTGCTGTCATCATGGAGAAGAGGAAACACATCAGCTATTAGAGATGAGTTATGAACACTGTTATGAGCAGAGATGAGCGTAGGATAAAGAATAAGAATAAGAGTTTGACAGGAGTGTAAAGAGTCTGTCCTGATGTGTGTGTTTGTGTTATTATGAGCTGATGGAGCTGGTGCTGTTTCTCTTTGTTTCTGAGTGTATGTTAGAGTCTGCTCTCTCCTTTTCTATTTTCAGTTGCGAATGTCAGAGAAGCGCTCACACAGTCCATCCCTCTAATAGTACACTTTATGCAAAGTGTGTGTGTGTGTGTTTCCTGCAGATCATTTCTACTTCTGCTGTTGTATATGTTTGTGTGTGTATTAGTGTGTGTGTGTGTGTATGTGTTGTACATGTGTGTTTGTGTGTAGTATGACTGTTGCATGTGTGTATGCTTGCATGTGTCTATGTATGTGTGTGCATTTGTATTTCCTACTGATCATTTCTCCTTTTACCTTTGTTTGTGTATACTTGTGTGTTTGCGTGTGTATATGTGTGTGTGTGTGTTTGTGTTTTTTGTGTGTGTGTGTGTGTCCTCCAGAACACAGAGCAGGTGCGTGAGCGTCTGTGGCAGGATCACTTCAGTGAGTTTGGTCGTGGTGTCCACATGTTCCGCTCAGAGAAGATCCGCACGCTGGTGTCGCTGGGCCTGCCGGAGTCTCTGCGCGGGGAGCTGTGGCTGCACTTCTCAGGTCAGACAGAGGAGCACTGCAGCAACACAAACTCCTGTGACACACTCCTGCTGCTACATAAGAGAACATTAGGAGCAGTGAGAAGGAAAAGAAGATCAAATTGTGTGTGTGTGTGTGTGTGTGTGTGTTATGTTCCTGCAGACGCCAGCTCATCTCTGGCCGCTCACCCGAACTACTACGCTGATCTGCTGGAGAAGTGCAGAGGAGAGAGCAGCGTGGCCACAGAGGAGATCGAGCGGGATCTGCACCGATCATTACCGGAGCATCCGGCGTTCCAGAGCGAGACCGGCATCAGTGCACTGCGCCGTGTGCTCACCGCATACGCCTACCGCAACCCCTCCATCGGCTACTGCCAGGTCACACACACACACACACACACACACACACACACACATACATATTCTCACTCAGGGCTGGGCACATGCTGAGATTCAGTAATTCAGTATGTTACAGAGACAGTAGATCCAGCAGGGTGTTCTCTGAGTAAAGGCTGACGGGTTCATCAGCAGCAGATGTGAAGCGCAGCACTGCTGTAGGAGACTGAAGAGTTTATTCTGAGCGAACAACCATCCTCTATATACCTTATCCTGATTATTACACATATACTGGCCACAACACAGAAACACTAAACCCTGATCTGAGCTCTAATAGTTCATTATTTCTTTACTTAAACTAAAACAGATGATGGAGTATACACTAACCTGCGCATTACTTACACACTAGATGGCGCCAAACAGTCAAAACACATTCATTATCAGCATATATTGACTTATTGAATATCTGCAGTGTGCAGATGCGCTGTGGCAGTGAATAACGTGTGTGTTTCTGTCCTGCAGTCCATGAATATCCTGGCGTCGGTGATGCTGCTGTACCTCAGAGAGGAGGAGGCCTTCTGGCTGCTGGTGACCGTGTGTGAGCGCATGCTGCCCGACTACTTCAACCGCAGGGTCATCGGTGCGTGTGTGTGTGTGTGTGATTATTGATTATTGATCATCTCTGCACAGACTCAAGGTCTCCATCACTCCGGTTTTCAATTTTAAATGTATGAATCAGCCACATTAGCTTTACAAAAACACATCTCAGCAACATTCAAAGGGGCAGTTCACAAAAAATCAACATCGGCTCATTTTTTACTCCAAGTTCTTTATGAGTTTCCTCCTTCTGTTGAACACAAAACATTCTGAAGAGTGCTGGAAGAATGCAGACATTAATCTACATAACATTTGGTTTACTAATATGGAAGTCTTCCTCCAGGTGCTCCGGTTTCCCCCACAATCCAAAGACATGCGCTATAGTGGAAATGATCAACTAAACTGGCTGTACTGTATGTGTGTGAATGCAAGAGTGTATGGGTGTTTCCCATTGTTGGGTTGCAGCTGGAAAGGCATTCGCTGCATGAAACATATGTTGGATTAGTTGACGGTTCATTCCTCTGTGGCGACCCAAGATTAATAAAGGGACTAAGCCGAAAAAAATATGAGTGAATGAATGAATATGGAAGTCAGTGTGTTTTTTTGTGAATATTCCTGTAAATAAGTTTAAATCAGCCACAGGAATAAGCTGCGTGTGCGTTACTCTTGATAACATACGCTGAGACAAACTGAAAGCAAAACTAAACCACATATTGAGTGCAGTACTGTAACTGCCAAAACACAAGTGGGTCAAAAACACGACCGAGCAACAATGAGAGTCATTTAAATACACTGCCTGACAGAAGACTTGTGGAGGATCTCAGCTGTAAGAGCAGCAGATAGTAACTGGTCTTCTAGTTGATGATGTGTGAAAGTGTCAGAAGGTGGATTTCTCTGCTGGATCATCTGCTGATCTGCATTAATCATCACCAATACTGCAGAAGACCTACTGGAACCAGCATGGACCAAGATTCTCACAGAAATCAGTCAAGTTTGGTGAAGGAGACATCGTGGTTTGGGGTTCCATTCAGTATGGGGGCGTGCGAGAGATCTGCAGAGTGGATGGCAACTAAGGGTGTCACGATTTTGTTTTTAAATCAAAATCGATCAAAATTCATGCTCAATCTCGATTATCGAATCAAAAAATGGAATGGTCGATGCTGCCGCTGCCCCATGTTACTTCAGCTTGTTGAAGAGCTGCGAGTAAACCCAACAGCTACAACAAACAGCCAAAAGAAAGCATGGCAACTGCAGACGCAGGAGACCCGTCAACAGAACTTGAACCTTGAACTTACTCAGTAGTAGAAAACTCCAGTTTTAGGCATTTAATTAGCGCGCTATGAAATCCCAAGTAGAACGCATCTTAAAGCTACGGTGATACCCTCCATGTGCAATAATGTTAAGGAGAAAGTTATTGAAGGTTTTAGCAGTGCACATTTAGTAGCCTTGACTACTGATTGCTGGACCTCCAGCGCAACACAGAGCTTCATGAATCACAGCGCACAAAGGTCAGATATTATTCATTCATTCATTAATTTTCTTTTTAGCTTAGTCCCTTTATTAATCCAGGGTCGCCACAGCGGGATGAACCGCCAACTTATCCAGCACGTTTTTACGCAGCGGATGTCCTTCCAGTTGCAACCCATCTCTGGGAAACATCCACTCATTCTCATGCGGACAATTTAGCCTACCCACTTCACCTGTACCACATGTGTTTGGACTGTGGGGGAAACCGGAGCACAGGGAGAACATGCAAACTCCACACAGAAATGCCAACTGACCCACGTCTCGTCAGATATTATTAAATTGCATAAAAACCTTAAAATGGCATTGTGCTTTAAATGTTTTCTTTTTTTAAATTGAGAATTGAATCGAACCATGACTTTATAATCGAAAATGTGATCTAGTTGAGGATTTGGAGGATCGTGACACCCTTAATGGCAACATCAACAGCCTGAGGTATCAAGACGCTGCCCATTACATTACAAACCACAGGAGAGGGACAATTCTCCAGCAGGATAGCGCTCCTGCTCATACTTCAGCCTCCACATCAAAGATCCTGAAGGTCAAACTGCTCCAGGATTGGCCAGCCCAGTCACCAGATATCAACATTATTGAGCTGATGAAGGAGGAGGTGTTGAAGATGAACACAGAGACTCTTGATGAACTCTGGGATCCTGCTGAAGCTTTCTTCTTCATTCCAGATGACTTTATTAATCAGTGATGTGAGTCAGTGCAGAGATGTATGGATGCAGTCCTCCAAGCTCATGATGGAGTCAGACACAATCTTCATTCTGTCTCCACTGCAGCAGGACTTTATATTCTATACTGGACATTATTTCTGTTCAGTGATGACACTTTAGTCTGAGCAGAGTCAGAGCGCACTGTCCTCATCAAATCAGTCAACATCAAGACATGATCAGATTTATTGAGCTCAAATCAGCAAAATCTAGAGGCCTTCACCTTTCATAGAGACACTTCTGACACCAGATCAGCAACTAGAAAAACAGTTGGTATTTACTGCTCCTAAAACTTGGAGAGGCGACAAGACTTCTGTCAGGTAGTGTATATATTTTGGGGAATCTCCTTGTATTTTTGTGCTCAGGAGGGTGAGGGGTGTAAATGGCCTATGGGCCGAAGGTTTGTGACCCCTGGTTGCCTATAATCTCCCTGCCACACAATGAAGTTTAACATCAGCTGTAACATCATCCCACAGGTGCTCAGGTGGACCAGTCGGTGTTCGAGGAGCTGATCCGCGAGCGTCTGCCGGACCTGGCGGCTGCTGTCGGGGATGTCTCCCCGCTGGCGTCTGCGTCTCTCACCTGGTTTCTGACTCTGTTTGTGAGCGTTCTGCCGTTCCGCAGCGCTCTGTGTGTTCTGGACGGCTTCTTCTACCAGGGCATCAGAGCCATCTTCCAGATCAGCCTGGCGGTGCTGGAGGCCAACGCAGCCGAGCTGAGCGGCTGCACTGATGACGGATACGCCCTCATCATCCTCTCTACGTATGTGACTAATCCAGTGCATTTATTCTCCAATCGTTAATGTCAGCATTAAATAATCCACTTACCAATGTGAACGAGCTGAGCTTTACTCTGACAGGGATACATGTTTTCAGTAGTCCACAGACATCTAGCACGACCATGAGTATATAAATGTAATGTGAGATTGTTATTATTAAATTTGTGTGGCTCATTATCAACTCTAAAATATAACCCTTAATAACTCGTGTTCTGCCTGTCAGAGGTGGGTAGTAACGAGTTACATTTACTTCGTTACATTTACTTGAGTAAATTATTGGGTAACGTGTACTTTTTGAGTACATTTAAATATGTGTACTTTTACTCAAGTAAATTATTAGAGAATAATCAGTACTCTTACTTCACTACATATCACGACGTTCCTCCGTTACTGTCAAATGATAATAATAATGATCCAGATGTTTTGTTTGCACATATCTTGCGGTGCTGCATTGGAGAGGTTGTGTCGCGAGAGGTTGCTATGGAGATGCGTCTTCCGCTTTCAGTTAGGGCGCGCGCAGCCACGTGCCTGTGTTGAATGATGGCCATCTGCGGTTCCGAGAAGGACAGTCATGCTGTCTGTGTATTGTGTTTATCAGACCAGGTCACCGGGCCTCAAGTTCAGTCTGTTTTCACTCCAAGTTGTCGACAACAATAGTCTGATAATGCGATGCACGCTGTACATTAAACTGACATCACAGCATATTCCAGCTCCAACCTGAAAAAAGTAAGTGTCCAAATGATCCCCTTTTGAACCTTATTCAGGGTAACCATGCAGGCCCATAGCCAGGGGGGTTCGGTGGTTGGAAAAACCCACCCCTCAATGACAAAGGTCCAGAATTTGTCCCATACATCAGCTCATTTGTCTTATTTTGACTGCTATGCCATCATAAAAAGTGAAATTAATCCATTGAAAAAGGCTTTAAGACCAAGCAGAATGCTATATTAAAATTAATTTTGAAAACTATTTTGACTATTTTTGTTATCCATGAGTTTTCAATCAAGTCAAATGTACTTTATTTACAAGAGAGGCTTGAAAAATGGTGAAGCTCTTTTATTATTATTATTATTATTATTATGTTTTAATTTTTTATTATTCAAATAGCCAAATTCTGACTGAGGACAGAATGTTCTGGCCAGTTTATATGCTAAAGCTACAACAGGCTTTTTAATTTAAAACTTCAACAGATTCCTAATTTTTTTTATGATTTATGATCTAATTAATTTGTATTGTAAAAATCAGTATTTATTCATTTTTCTTTATTCTAAATCTTTAGGAAATATTTAGGTACATTAAATGTGTCCTTATGATGACGACCTAACAGGCTAATCCAGCTAAACTAGAGCTTAAAATGTCACTAAAACACTGCATTTCAATCTCATCTCATTGTAAATGTGGTGAATAACTGCAAAAAGGTCCACATTTTGAGAAAAAGACCCCTTATAACAGGCTGGCTTCGGGCCTGCTTTGGGATAAGCAAATAGCTGTTTAATGAAATAACTGATTATACCGTACATATTAGTCAATCAGTTTCCCGGAGATGGGTTGCGGCTGGAAGGGCATCCGCTGCGTAAAAACATGCTGGATAAGTTGCCGGTTCATTTCGCTGTGGCGACCCCGGATTAATAAAGCGATTAAGCTGACAAAAGAAACATCCACACACACTCATTGACACACACTACGACCAGTGTAGTTGATCAGTTCCCCAATAGCGCATATGTTTGGACTGTGTATATATATGTATATAAATATATATATAAATCAAAAGTAACTATTTACCTGAGTAATTTTTTCATAAGGTAGTTTTTTACTCTTACTCTAGTAACTTTTAAGATTGTTACTTTTACTTGAGTAAAAATTTCTGCAAATACTTGTACTCTTACTTGAGTACATATTTTGGATACTCTACTACCCACCTCTGCAGACTATATATGTGTGTTCTGTGTCCTTCTAGAAAACACTTACAACCAGATCCATCGCCAGACTCCTGTGCACTCATTTGCATAAATCAGGGAAACGCTTCATCTGTTGTTCGTTTCTTATACTTGTGTAGTTGTGAAAGTGTTTTAATGATGTGTATGCGTGTGTGTGTGTGTGTGTGTTAGTTTTCTTGAGCGGGTCCGTCATGAGGATGAATCAGCTGATCATCTTGAAAATGCAGGAGCTTCTCAACATCTGAACATCACCAACCTCATCACTGACGCATACGAGGTGCTCTTTACCACGCTTCACCACAGTTTCCTGATGATAACCTTGATTTTCAACACTTTATCAAAACTTACCACAGTTTACCTTGGCTCACAGCACTACCACAGTTAACGACACTCGGTGATTACAATTAGAATTTACTGCAGTTCATGTTTTACAAGTTTACCATGGTATAACATACTTTACCCCAGTTTAAGGCTGTTTACTATGAATTTTCCACATTTTACCATTGTTTACAACACTTTACCTCAGTTTACCTTGGTTTCCAACACTGCTGTGTGTGTGCGTGTGTGTGCGTGTGTGTGCGTGTGTGTGCGTGTGTGTGCGTGTGTGTGCGTGTGTGTGCGTGCGTGTGCGCGTTTGCGTGCGTGTGTGTGTGTGCAGAAGTTCAGCAGTGTGTCCGTGAAGCAGCTGGAGCAGATGCGGTGTCTCCACAGGCTGCAGGTTCTCCAGGCTCATGAGGACACCAGTAAAGACAACGCTGTGAGTCTGACAGTCAGCATGCTTCTGTGGCGTCCGTCATTGCTAGTCAACCATCAGCTGATCTCATCATAGCATGTCCTAACTACACGCGACACACGCTAACAGCTCTCGTTTCCATCTGTAAAGGAGATTTTGAGTGTGAGGGCGATGCGTGAATGATTTCTGTTTTCATCACAGCAGCATACACTAGTGTGATGACGACCTCAGGTGCAGATGATGTGCTGTATTCAGTGTTCAGTGCTACTAATGTGAGTTTAAACACATTTAACATGGCATTTACAGCCGTACTGAAGGCAGCAGCAGATCATTCACATCAGATGCTCTGAAAATAAAAAACAGAACCGAGACTCCAGCAACAGCAGTCACACCATCAGGCCTATTAATGATCTTCAAGAGCTTTAATACTGTGCATCCGGAGAGCACTGATAAAGCTTGACTTTTTACACATTTGTTTTTGTTGAAAACAAAGGGATTAAACTGATTGATTTCCTCAACATTCTACACACAATCCCCCATAATGACAATGAGAAGAAAGAGTATGTGAAATTGTTGCAGATTTATTAAAGCTGTAAAATCAGATGGACATCAGTATTCACAGCCACCCTTAGTTAAACATCCAGTAGCCGACCTTTTTGATGACCGGACCTGCAGATTAACGGCAGGACTCGTGAATATGAAAGAATGGCGCATAACAGGGTTTAATGCGTCCCCAATTTGCAATGCTGGAGAGTGACACACAGTGAGTCACACACTCTGTGTAATGTGTGAATAGGGTAAGGATAACTCATCCTTTAAATGTCCATGCTCATAAGGTCTATGAATTCGCAGGGTTATCAACGATGTGTGTATATTTTTGGCTTGGAACAGCCCTCTGTTAAAGATGTACAGTTGAAGTCAGAATTATTCGCCCCCCTTTGAATTTCTTCTTTTTAAAATATTTTCCAAATGATGTTGAACAGAGCAAGGAAATGTTCACAGTATGTCTGATAATATTTTTTCTTCTGGAAAAAGTGAAATTTGTTTTAATTCGGCTAGAATAAAAGCAGTTTTTAATTTTTTAAACACCATTTTAGGGAAAAAAAATTATTAGCCCCTTTAAGCTAAACTTTTCCTCTATAATCTACAGGACAAACCATCGATATACAATAACCTGCCTAATTACCCTAACCTGCCTAGTTACCCTAATTACCCTAGTGAAGCCTTTACATGTCACTTTAAGCTGTATAGAAGTGTCTTAAAGAATATCTAGTCTAATATTATTTACTGTCATCATGACAAAGAGAAACTAAATCAGTTATTAGAGATGAGTTATTAACACTATTATGTTTAGAAACGTGTTGAAAAAAATCTGCTCTCCATTAAACAGAAATTAGGGAAAAAATAAACAAGCAGTCTAATAATTCAGGGGGGCTAATAATTCTGACTTCAACTGTATGTGTTCATCCCAGCCACAGGCAAAAAAGCTAACAAATGGATTGCACTTTCATCAAAACCAAATCTACGAAGTATCGGTGTCGGCAAATACACAAATTAAAATACTCGTGCTCGTATTGGTTTGTAAAAAAGTGGTGTCGGTGCATGCCTAATAAATTTGGTAATTCCTTAATCTGGAGGAAGTCGTGTGAAATAAAAACTAATTGCAATGTGACACAACCCATGTGCTCATGCACATTGAGGCAGCTCATACACAACACACTCACACAAAGTGAGATGAATGCTTGTAGACATAACACAACAGCTAAATCAAGTCATTTCAGCATGTCAAAGTCAAATTTATACACATTAAACATATATTCCCAACAACAAAAGTGTGGCTAGTGGAAATGGCGAGTGGCTAGGTGTCCGTGCAGTCTTAAACAGTATTAGAAGTTAATAAATATAAATCATTTATGAGAAAATTAATGCCTTAAAAGGAATTAAAGAGTCTTAATTGTGTTTTCACAAGGTCTTGAATTTTGCTCAAGCATTGTCCAAAGTGTTTGACTCCAAAACAGCATAAATGTATATTAATCCTCCTCGATTGGTTCAGGCCGGGGTGCGTCCAGCCAAGCTCCTCCGTCCGGATGATGTCACCTAATTTGCGATAAATGCGTGAGGGTGATGTGACGCTCTCCACATGTAGTGAAACCACAGAGTGAAAATGTATGTTTGCATACTCCTGAATGGAGAAAGACGAGTTAAACAGTGGCTGAAGCTGAAAACAACCATGCATTTATTCTCTCAGGGTTTGTTTCCTCTGAGCTTATCTGAGTTCTGTTGCAGGGTTGTGCTCCATTTGTTTATTTAACTACAGCTGTTTATTAAGTTAAAGGTTTGATTCTGATTAGAACTTGAAGAGGCGATGAGCTCTTAGGGTGCTTTCACAGCTAGACTTTTGTTTCAGAACCGGTCTCGTTTGCCCAGTTAGCGTGGTTCACTTGGCATATGTGAAACCAGCAATCAGGCTCAGATCCAAATCCAGATCAACTGTCTGACATCGCCTGAAGGGGGTGATCTCAGCTTGATTGAAAAGAACTCTGGGGTGGATCGATTGAAGTGAGAAAGCAAAACGATCCGAGCCCGGCTTTATCACAGAGTATTATGGATATGTAATAGGCATACAGTATATATGGCTAAATGAAGACAGAGTTATGAGTAGGGTGGGATGTCATCATTCTTACCGGTATATGTGCGTCTCATGTTAAATATGAAAGTGAGAGCATGCTGAGCTTTTACCGAGAGCTGTTTATCTGTTAGGAACATTGAGCGAACTGCCTTTCCTCTGATTTATATCTGGTGATGATGTCTGATGGTGTCACTATTCAAAATTAAAGCGCAGCTTCCCGCTTATAATGTCTTATTGCCCATCGCCATAAATTAAAATTAGTATGCGTGACAGCTGAGCAGGACAAAATAAAGCATGAAACTCTGACTAATGTGAGGAGAGTTTACTCACACGTGACCAGTTTTAGCTCTTTTGGTCCGTTTAGAAACTTTGCTGTGTGAAAGCTAGTAATGTGTGATACCACTGAGTTCCTATCCAATCCGATACCAAGTAAAATGAAAGCGAGTATCGGCGATTCCAATACTGCCCAAAAATGACTGTTTGGGAAATTAAAGTAACAAGTAGTGTACTTAAAAGTGTCACTTTATACTGAATACGAGCCATATTACAGGTTATTCTTGCTTATTGTTTATTGATGAAGAATTATCATACAAAAAAAGTGACCTTACATATTTACTGACAGCATCTGAGCATCTTAAAAAACATTCACACCTCTACATTTAGTGGCATGTTAATCCAGTTCCCATGGAAGTGTTTTAAACCTTTTTTCGTTGTTTTATCATAGTCACAAAAACCCCTAATAGAGCCACATCACCCCATGTTCTCCCTCTGCACCTGCACAGTGCCTGCCTGCTGCACCTAAGGACAGTGAAAGCGATGTCTGTCTCGCCCGAGCAGCACCTGTACCTCTCCTCCTCTTCAGACCGCCTAGTCATGACGTTTTCATATTCTACTTCCAGTAAAATGCATATTTGCTCCAAGTTATTAAAATATCGATATTTAGATAAGATAATTGATTCTAGAGCATACAAAGCTGGTGTAGGAGATATCGATATTTAAGTATCGATCCGCACATCACTAGTGAAAGCGAACCGCACCAAGAGCAAAGAGCAGCACTGGAGCAAGTTTAATCCCTGTTTCAGAACAACTGAATCGATTCACAAGTGTGAAAACACTCTTATAATATTCTGAGAAGGTCTTTAAAAGGTATTGAAATGACCTGTAGGATTCCTGCATACACCCTGAATGTTGGAAATCTACTAGTCACAGTGGCTGCTGATCAAGTTAATGTCAAGCCCGGTTTATAATCTAATGAACACATGTTAAAGCTCTTGAACATCATTAATAGGCCTGATGGTGTGACTGCTGTTGCTGGAGTCTCGGTTCTGTTTTTTATTTTCAGAGCATCTGATGTGAATGATCTGCTGCTGCCTTCAGTACTGCTGTAAATGCCATGTTAAATGTGTTTAAACTCGCATTAATAACACTGAACACTGAATACAGCACATCATCTGCACCTGAGGTCATCATTGTAGTCGTGTATATGTACAGTAGTTTATGCTGCTGTTCTGCTGCGATGCCACAGAAATAGAAAACATTTCACACATTGCTGTCGTGGGTTAAATATAGCTTTAGTCAAGTCATCCAGGGGTTCCCAAACTTTCCAGCCCATTGAACCCCAAAATAACAATGCCAGTGACTCGTGACCCCCAAATCCTCTGAGGTGGTTATAGATGCAGAAACTTTGCATGTAATGGCGCACACACACCAACAGACCCAAGTGTGTTCTTCATTGTTTTAATGCATGTCAGTGCTGTAAATGTGCCAGAAAGTTTACCCTGGTATTATAAAATCAGTCTGCTGCATCTGACGCTATTGCTGTGTCTTTAATATAATGTGATTACCACAGGGAGGGGTCGCAATCCAATAGAGCTAGTCACTATAAGCTACTATAGTAACTATATAGTAACAGTCCAAACACATGCGCAACAGGGGAGTCGATCCATTAAACTGGTGTTTCCCAGTGATGGGTTGCAGCTGGAAGGGCATCCGCTGCGTAAAACATCTGTTGGAATAGTTGTCGGTTCATTCCGCTGTGGCAACCGCAGATTAATAAATAGACTAAGCCGAAAATAAAATGAATGAATATAAAACTATTGTTTTAAAGCTGTCCAAACGTGACTGTTTATACGCATCAGCTGCCGACACGAAGCTCTCAGCAGCCTCCTTGCGCATACTGCATCATGGGTAATTTAGCGTTATAAGAAAAATGTCTGTAAGTGCTTTGATTCAACACAGTTATTACACTGCAGCATTTACTAAATACATCTGTGTGTGTGTGTGTGTGTGTGTGTGTGTGTGTGTGTGTGTGTGTGTGTGTGTGTGTGTGTGTGTGTGTGTGTGTGCGCAGCTGCGGTTGGTCACTCCAGATGTGTCTCTGCCGCAGGAACATCTGTCTGACCTCTACGACCTCTTCAAGGTGTGTTTATTAATAACAGTGTGTGTGTGTGTGTGTGTGCGTGCGTGTGCACTAAAACACACTACACTGAAAAAAAGCATGTCTGCAAACTAGTTGTAAGCAATTACATGTGTTAAATTTGAACAAGCAAATTAATGTAGTAGTGTTCAACTTCATTTGTTTAAATTTAAAACAAATAAATTTAGTAAATCCAGTGCATCATGTCCGAGTCATTTCTCTCAGTGTACTGCTGTAATAATGAGGTACAGAATAACATGTTACTGTAAATAAGGGGTGTGTGTGTGTGTGTGTGTGTGTGTCAGACAGAGCACTTCATCAGTCTGTACTGGGGAGAGAGTGTGTGTTGCTCTGCCGCCGCTGCGTCCTCCAGCACGGAGCCGTATTTTCTGGACGGAGCTCAGTTTAAGAGTCTGTTTGAGCTGCTGGCGCCGTGGCCCTGCGGCACACACACCGACACACTCGCGCAGCGCGCATTCACACTGCTGGACCAGGACCGAGACCAGCGCGTCAGCTTCTCTGAGTTCATACACATGCTGGGTGAGTGTGTGTGTCTGCATGAGTGCATGTTTATGTGTGTGTGTGTGCGTGCATGCATGAGTGTGTGTATGTGTGAATGCGTGCAAAAGTGTGAATGTGTGTGCATGAGTGTATGCATGTGTGCATGAGTGTGTGTGTGCTTGCATGGTTATACATAGATGATTGTGTGCATGCATGAATGTGTGTGTGTGCATGTGAATGCATGAGTGTGTCTCGTGCTGTATTATGCATGTGTGTGTGTGCATGATTGTGTGTGTTCATGAATGAGTGTGCTTGTGTGAATATGTGTGTGCGCACGTGTGTGTGTGTGTGTGTGTGTGAAACAGAGAGAGAGAGAGCAGTGTTGCTGATGGTCTCCTGTGCTGTTGTTCAGATGTCCTCTACTGTGAGGAGCTGAATGAGAAGATCCGGCTGCTGTACCGCCTGCACATCCCGCCAGGTTCACCGTCACCTCGCTCTTCATCATCAAACACTCTGAACTCCCATAATGCATTTGGGGAAGCTTTTATCTGAAAGAGTTGCATAACTGTCTGTGTGTGTGTGTGTGTGTGTGTGTGTGTGTGTGTGTGTGTGTGTGTGTGTGCGCGTGTGTGTGTTAGCTCTGAGTGAGGATTCAGAAGACTCGTCTCCGCTGAAGAGTCCAGTATTGTCCAGCACCAGACCGCTCTACGTCAACCTGCCCAATGGTACCGTCCTCTATCAGTGTTTTTCAGTAACCTGTGTGTGTGTGTGTGTGTGTGTGTGTGTGTGTGTGTTTAATTAAAGATGGATGCTCTGAGCAATGTGTGTAAGGCACTGCTGACAGATCAATATCAAATCACACCTGCAGCCAGTCAGAACTAGGGGGCGTGTCTATTACTTATAGTGGAGATTGCAAAAAGGGGTGTGTTCTGTTATGGTGGGCGTGTCTGTTTTGCTGTTGTTCTTCAGTGCGGATTTAAAGGCACGCTACAGTATTTTCATAAATCAGCTCATTTTACACTCCTCCAGTTAAACAGGTGACCTTTACCACTCTCCAATCTGTTCAGAGCGTCACGGTGACGCTGTGGTCTGCACTGTGGCCTCACAGCAAGAAGGTCTCTGGTTTGAGTCTTGGCTGGGTCAGTTGGTGTTTCTGTGTGGAGTTTGCATGTTATCAGAAGCACTTTTAGCGTAGCTTAGCATAGATCATTGACTCAGATTAGACCGTTAGCATCTCACTCAAAAATGACCAAACCGTTTTGATGACGTTACGCAGTGCCTAAAAGATGTTCTGAATCGTCTGTCAGAGATGTCTCGGCGCTTGCGTGATGTTCAGGCTCTGTGTAATATCGTATCAGCAGTCGTGGTTAAGCAGCTTCATTATTACGCCAGAACGAGACTTCAGCTCCTACACACATCAGCCTGCAAAATAGCTTTCCATGTTCAGTTTGGTACCACTACATCCACTCCAGCAGTTCCAGTGTTGATAATGTGTGTGTGTGTGTGTGTGTGCGCAGGCGAGAGGAAGAGTTATGAGGAGCAGCTGCAGCAGATGCTGGAGGATCTGAACAGCAGAAAGAAGGACCAAGAGAAACCCCTGCCCCACATGAACCAGGTCAGCCTGCAGATCAACACACACACACACACATGCAGATCAGTGCATTTACACACACACACACACACACACACACACACACACACATGCAGATCAGTGCATTCACACACACACATGCAGATCAGTGCATTCACACACACACACACACACACACACACACACATGCAGATCAGTGTATTCACACACACACACACACACACATGCAGATCAGTGCATTCACACACACACACATGCAGATCAGTGCATTCACACACACACACACACATGCAGATCAGTGCATTCACACACACACATGCAGATCAGTGCATTCAAACACACACACACACACACACACACATGCAGATCAGTGCATTCACACACACACATGCAGATCAGTGCATTCACACACACACACACACGTGCAGATCAGTGCATTCACACACACACACACACACACATGCAGATCAGTGCATTCACACACACACACACACACACACACATGCAGATCAGTGCATTCACACACACACACACACACACACATCTAGAAGAAATAACAATGACTTTTTTTCCCAAACTAAATTCTGAAATGAGTTGTAAAGTAATCATCTATCATGGAAAACCTCAGCAAGTCTCAGAGTTTGACCGCTGTGTTCCCTGTAGACAGCCTTTAATGAAGTCAGCACGTGTAGATCAGCTGGTCAGGAGCTGCAGATGTTTAGTGCTTCCCCTGTTATTGATTATATGAGCTGCTCTGATGATCACAGTGCGTCTGACTGTACTCCGCTGTTCTGTTGTGTGTGTGTGTGTGTGTGTGTTCAGCGCGAGTTCATCCAGTTCTGCAAGACGCTCTACAGCATGTTCCAGGGCGAGTCCAGCGAGTCGGAGCTCTTCCAGGCCATCGGGATGTTCACCAGCCTGCTGCTGCAGATCGGGGAGGCCCGACAGCACTCAGACGCAGCAGACGAGCAGTGGACGGTGAGTTTCCAGCAGATTCTGGCCTCCTTCCTGACCGAACAGGTGCTGGTCAACTTTCTGGAGCGACCCGTGGACCTGAGCGCCAGAATCTGCACCGCCAGAGAGCGGCAGTACCAGGAGCGTGCAGGAGTGCTCATGATCCAGCACACATGAGGAGGAATACAACACAACACAACACAACACTCCTTTACTCTGTACTAGACCTGAGTTTCTTCCTTCTGTTGAACACTAAAGAAGATAGTTTGAAGAATACTGGAAACCTGTAACCATTGACTTCCATTGAAGGAAAAACAAATGCGTAGTCAATGGTTTCCAGCATTCTTCTAATGATCTTCTTTTGTGTTCAACTGAAGAAATTCAGATTTAACAAGTGAAGGGCGAGTTAAAGAATTGTATTTTTTTCCTTAAAGGGGTCAGACCTTTCTACTGTTGAATACAAGGATATTTTAAAGAATGTTGGAAACCAGTAACCATTGACTTACATTATGAAAAAATTAAATGCTAAATCAATGGTTACTGGTTTCCAGCATTCTACAAAATCTCTTTTGTGTTTAATAGATAAAAACTAGATTGGAAACAAGTGAAGAGCAGGTAAAGGATGACAGAATTGTATGTTTTTCCTTTATAGGGACTGTTAACCCCCCAAAAAGAACAAATCTTAATATTTACTCAACCTGAAGACATTTAAACCTTTATGAGTTTCAACTTTCAACTCCCCCAACTTTATGAGGAAGATATTTTGAAGAATGCTGAAAACCGATAACCATTGACTTCCATAGTAGGAAAAACAAATGCAAAGTCAGTTGTTTCCAGCATTCTTCAAACTATCTTCTTTTGTGTTCAACAGAAGAAACTCAGATTTAATCAAGTGAAGGGAGAGTAAAATACTTGTATTTTTCCTCTAAGGGGTCAGTTCACATTAAAAAAGAATGGTTACATGATATTTACTCCACATAAAGGGGTTTCAGACCTTTCTACTGTTGAAAACAAAAAAGATATAAGAAAAATACTGAAAAACAAATGTAAGTCAATGGTTTCCAGCATTCTTCTAAATATCTTCTAGTGTGTTCAACAGAGAAAATTCAGATGTAAACAACTGATGGTAAAATACTTGTATTTTTCCTCTAAGGGGTCAGTTTACCCAAAAAAAGAATGGTTACTTGATATTTACTCCACATAAAGGGTTTCAGACCTTTCAACTGATTAATGCAAAAAAAAAGATATTTTGAAGAATGTTAGAAATCAGTAACCATTGACCTACATTGTAGAAAAATTAAATGCTAAATCAATGGTTACTGGTTTCCAGCATTCTTCAAAATATATTCTTTTGTGTTTAATAGAAGAGTTTCTTTTTTTTATCTGTTAAACACAAAGGAAGATATTTCAAAGAATGCTGAAAACCGATAACCATTGACTTCTATAGTAGGAAAGACAAATTTAAGTCAATGGTTTCCAGCATTCTTCTAATTATCTTCTTTTGTGTTCAACAGAAGAAACTCAGATTTGAAGTGAATGTTGCCTGAAACTTATTTTTGTTTTCCTTTAAAGCGACTGTTCATCGTTGGAAATGAATGTTCCCTCTCCCTCATGTGCTTTCAAACTTTTATGAGTTTCTTTCTTCTGTTGAACACAAGAGAAGATATTTTGAAGAATGCTGGAAATCGGTAATCCTTGAAGTCCACGGTAGGACAAGCAAATACTATAGAAGTCAATGGTAACCGGTTTCTAACATTCTGTGTTCAACAGAGGGATGAAAATCAGATTTGAAACAAGTAAAGGGTGTGTAAAAGATTTAATTGTATTTCTGTAAAGGGATAGTTCACCCAAAACTGAAAATGATGTTGTCAATTACACAGCCTTCCCTTATTCCAAACCTTTACTAGTTTCTTTATTCTACTGAACACAATGAGATCTTTTAAGGAATGTTGAAAACTGGTCACTTTTTACTTCAATAGTATTGTTTTTTCTACACTGGAAGTCAATGGTTACCGGTTTCCAACATTCTTCAAAATATCTTCTCTTGTGTTCAACAAAAGAGAGAAACTAATAAAGTTTTAAAACCAAATGAGGCAGAGTAAATAAGTAAATAGTAATTTTTTGGGGGGTAAAAATTATCCACAAAAACAAAACAAAATAAAATCAACAAAAAGGGGGCCGTTCACCCTAAAATGAAAATGTACACTATTTACTTTAAACACCCTATATTGAACTATGCTGGAAACAGGAAACCATTGACTTGCATAGTGGGAGAAACTAATACTATGGAAGTCAATGGTTACCCGTTTTTATCATTCTTCAGAATATCTCCTTTAGTGTTCAACAGTAAAAGGAAACTCATAAAGGTTTGGAAACACTTGTGGGGGAGTAAATATTGTAATTTTTGTGTGAACTGACCCTTTATTGATCAGCAGTTATCTGAGAGTTGAGTTTATTTGCTCATTTGGGCTGGTAATAAATCAGTGGAGAGATGATCCAGCCCAGATGAAGAGCACACCACACACAATCCCATGATGCCACTGGGGTGAGCTGGACTCCCCCAATCAATGACCAGTTCCAGATTTAAAGGCACAGTTCACCCCAACTAAAGAATATTTACTCACGCCTTACTCTCCCTCAGGCGATTATAACCCTTTATGTGTTTCCCTCTGTTGAACACAAAAGAAGATATTTTGAAGAATGCTGCAAACCTGACTTCCGTAATATTTGTTTTTCCTACTATGGAAGTCAATGGTTACTGGTTTTTAACATTCTTCAGAATATCTTCAACAGAAAAGAGAAACTTATAATCCACTTGAGGGATAATAGTGGGTAAATTTCTCATTTTGGGGTGAACTGACCCTTTAATGTCAGACGTGATGAACTCTGAGTTCAGTTTATTTACACATTTTAGTCTGGGACAGTAACTTGATGCACTGTGAATGGAGAAATGATTCTGAATGCACCACTATTCTCTCTTGGACAGATTCAGAGTTTAGTGTTTACCAGCAGGAGGCGCTCTAGGCTTCACTAACAGGCCAACTCTGGTCATTATATCACTCGTCATCACTCCAGGTAAATGAATCAATAATGAAGGTCAGAAATTGAATTACAAGAGTGTGTTCACATTTACAAAATATCCAGATGAGTAGATAAATGAGCTTAAATCTGCTGTTATCTAGTCTAGAGCGCCATCTCCTGTTAAACATGATGCTCAGAGTTTATTCAAGAGACTCATGAGGCGTTCAGTCTTAATAATGACCGCTTAATAGCAATGCATCAACTTATGGTCCCCGCGTCACATGTTCTGGCTTTAAAACACACACACTTGATCAGTATTCAGCTTCTGTTCACACACACACACACACTTCAGATAATGTTTGCATTTGTCCACATGAGCATTATTAACCTGATGGATTTGGATGTGCACCATGTGAAGTTGCTGAGTCCTGATGGGTTTGTTTATATGAGGGACTGAATGAAGGAGATCAGCATTACTGATCATGTGACCCGCAGCGTTTAACATGTTTTACTCATTTTAATTAATTAAAACTATCACAGTACAGAGTCAGTGCTGGAGAGGATGCAGCTTTAATCTTTATATGTAATGTTACGTCTCTTAATTCTACCAAACATGCTGCATCTCTAGATGTAGAAGTGCCTTATACAGCGAGCCATATGGGATTCTGCTGATTGTGCCAGTGTGAAAGCCAAAGGGACCATCTTTAACCCTTGTGTGTTCAGACTGACTCTCCTTTGGTGATGTTGGTGCTGCTTTTACCCCATTGACTTCCAATATAATCACATTTATTGATTGTGACGCCATGACGGCAGATTATAGCGCATGTGTGCAGAAATACACTGTTCTAAGATATCAGGATTATTTTGAGCTTCTCAGACATTTCAACAGGGAAAACCAGCAACAGTCAGGAATGCAGGACTATCTGCGGTCATGGCTTCACAATCAATAAATGTGATTATCATGGGGCAGAATCAGCAGCAGCATCAGTAAAGAGGAGTCAATCTGAACAGAGTGTGTCGATTCTCAAAACATTTTCCCAAAATATGTGTCAAAATAAGATTTGTGACCGAAGCTCTTTCCGTTTGCTGACACAGAGAGAAAGAGGAGACCAAATTAAGCCTCAAAATCAGCCCAGAGTGGGTGAAAACGACCCAGCAGCACACAAGGGTTAATTCCTCACTGTTACACACACCGCTTATCCAGATGAAGCATTAAATCAATCGTCAGAGCCGTCCTGATCTTTATGTAGCATTAGCTGATGTTCACACATCTTCATGATGTTGTTTGTTTACGTCCGCATGTCAACACGGAGCAATTAAAGAACATGTACAACACAGAGCAACCCTTTATCTCTTTATTCCAACAAGCATGAAGAAAAGCTTAATTTTCATCCACATTTACTGTCTGCAGACCTGCAACACACAAAGAGACAACACGTTACACACGCTTTACAGCTCAATACACACAAGACTCAGACACAACTGAGTGAGTGTGTGTTTACAGAACGCATTACAGTAACAATGACTGAAGATTACAGAGTTAAACTAATAACGGCAGCATTTCTCACTGACTCAAAAACGTTATATTTACTAGTCAACATTTGAAGAGGGTCAAGAAGGTCCTAAGACAAGAATGACACCTTGACACGCGCAGGGTGTCCAAACTCAGTCGTGGAGGGCCGCTGTCCTGCTGAGTTCAGCTCCAGTTTGCTTCAACACACCTGTCTGGAGGTGTCTAGTATATCTAGTCAGAGCTTGATCAGCTGCTGCAGGTGTGTTTGATTAGGGTTGGAGCTGAACTCTCCAGGACTGAGTGTTGACACCCCTGATGTAGGGCTTCAGCAAACTAGCAGACCCTCACCTTTATTAATGAAACTTTAGATTAGCATTTAACTCGACACATTCATCCTGATCTTCAGTTTTCATATCAGACTGGGGTTTTTACCTGCTCATTGGCTGATTCCATATTCAGGGTTCTTGCACCATTTTAAAAGTAAAATTTAATGCTTTTTAAGACCTCAACAAATATAATTTAAGACCCCAAAAGTTTATAATCTCTTTGGAATAGGCTACTCATTTTAATGTTCTCGTTAGATTAAAATAAATTATGCCTCGTCACAGTATGGATAACCCGCAGTACCTGCCTTTTGGGTGTCTGGTGGTGAAATAAACTGTTATAGCTGACTGTGAGGGGGCGTCTGAACTAGAGCTGTAATCAGGCTATAAAAGCTAGGCCCGATAGAGCCCAAACCCAACAAGTACATTTTGATTGACAGCTTTTTAAAAGCCCGAACCCGTTTACAGCCTGACATTATCCAAATGTGCACATGCACACAGCTCTTTTGTCTTTTTTCATGAATGAGTTGTTTATATGCATTAACATTACTTATTCATAACACAGACTACAGGCCAAGCTGGAACAAATAAATAAATAAGCCCCCTGTAACATCTCAACACTCTAAATAGGCCTGGGCACATACACTTAACCTTTAAATTGGCCAACACACCAATAAAAATAAGTCTTAGCAAATGAATTAAAATAAATGATAAATGACGGGTATTTGGCAATAACGAAATTAAGATAAAGGCTCAGTGGGATTTGTTTTGCCACTTCTCTTCACAATAAGGTGATGGTGAAGCTGAATAATAAAGGAATAATGCCAGCATTAGCCTGTATACTCTGACTACACTATGATTTTATTAATATTTAGTTATAATTGTAAATTCTTTACTCATCAAGATTAGGTTGTGTGTTTTGTGGGGGAACATTATTGAATCCTCTGTGAACGGCTTTAGCGCAGTGACTAGCTGCTGCAACGTCCCGCGGCTGCTTTCCTCCTTTCATGTGATACTTAATGACTTTGAGCCCCAACGAAAAGGTCTTTTTGCAGAATTTACACATTCCCTCTTTGCCACGTCGTTAAATTTACATTCTCCCATCTTTGCATTTTGAACCTCACATCAACAACCGCGTAATGACCGCACACAGGTGCAGACCGGCGTCAGCGTCTGTACTCTGTACCCGACCTACCGTAATAAGCTAATACATCACGCAGACTGTCATTTCTCTCCTGCTTCACACATACTGAATTAATCAACTATTAGATGTTTTACGGTGGACCACTGTGCTTCCCTATCGTCATTAAGCAGACCGGCTGAACATTTAATACCCACAGCCACTTTACGGTAAAATTTAAGACAATTTAAGACCTTAATTTCCCGGATTTTAATTTAAGACATTAAGACTTTAAGGACCCGCGGGAACCCTGATATTTTAAAATGTAAAACTGCTGGTAGTCAATAAACTGAGTGTGTGACTATTTTATTTTTTATTTGATTACCGTTTTAAGAAAAGCAGTGAGACATCTTCTCTAGCAGGACTTGAGTTCATTAACAGCGCAGCAGCCCAATGTTCACATAGTAAATTCAGGCAAACTTAAGAGTTCAGCGACACACTGTGAAATCAAATGATAGAAATGTATACGCTGTACCACAGCGTTCAAGACTTCCTGCAATTTCCCTAAAGTGACTTCAGTGCTAGAGAAGTGATCTCACCTTTGTAGGTGGTGACGGGGACGTATGTGACGAGGGTGTAGAGCTTGTTTGGGGAATCCTCATCCTCATTGCGTTTCCGGGACAGACGCACACGCATGCGGTACGGCACATTCCTGACAAACACAAACACACACACTGAGCATCATCACATCATCAGGAGAACACACACCTTCACTGCTAAAACGGCCGTTCTCACAGGTTTAGGCCCCGTTCACACTGTCAGGTTTGATGCTCAATTCTGATTTGTTTGCCTGTCCGTTTACACCAGGAGTGTCTTGGAGGGCCGGTGTCCTGCAGAGTTCAGCTCCAATTTCCACAACACACCTGCCTGGAGGTTTCTAGTACACCCAGAAAGAGCTTGATCAGCTGCTTTAGGTGTGTTTGATTGGAGATGGAACTAAAATAAGCCGGACACCTGCCCTGGACACCCCTGGTTTACACCTTTTAACCGTGACCCATATCCCATTCAGCGTTTACACTTGCTAAACAATTTATGACATCTCGCATGTGTAAAGGCGGGTTCTAGCACCTACGCCACGATGAAAGAAATGCTCTTGCTTTCAGCTCTGTGAAATATGTGAAGATTGTCCAACTTTAAAATGATTGGGTTGGAGGGAAATGGTCGTCATCACATATATATGCTGTCCTTCATCATTCAGAGGAGTTTGTGAGCACGAGAGAGACCTCAGATCTGCAAATTGTGAGCACTTTCCTCCTCCACGTTTCCTCTGTAGTTGTTGTTGTTTATCTCCACACACGCTCTTCCTTCTACGTCATTAAACCACGGAGAAGCACCACATTGTCACAAGGTTAATGATGTACAGAACGCCTTAATAAATCTGATCTGATTTACATCTGTTTATTTCCACATATGACATCTGAATGCATGCACTTATTTCATGTTTACAGTCAGAACAGATCCCATCCATCACATATGAGCAAACAAATCAGAATTGGTTCACTTTTACCTGGCAGTGTAAATTGGGTCCGAGTCTAGCTTCTAGTCAAGAAGCATTTTTTAGACAAGAACAAACATGTAGTCTTGTTTTCAGAAATAACGAGTCAAAATGGAGAGTTTTGCCTTAAAACACACAGAATACTCTGCCAATGGGTGAAGTCAAATCATTTAGGCTCTTATTAATCTTGATTATTCTGCTTATTTTAAGCGTAAAACTCTCGTCATTTTAACTAGTGATTTCTGAAAACCAGAACGCTTCTTGATTTAAGGGTGCTTTCACATCTGTAGTTTGCTTCGTTTCGTCCGCACCAAGGCCAATAAATGATGCATTGTTGCATTTTCTGCCGTCGTTGGGTTGTTTTCACACCACACTGCTGGCTTTGGTCCGAACCAGTTGAAACGAACCAAAATGCAGTCATCTGACAAAACCCACATCTCTCATTGGCCAGATGTTGTTGAGCATATTTCCTAAACTGCTTATTGATTGGTCAGAATTCATGTGCGGGAAAATGCCAATGAACTCCCGCAGGTAAACAAAACTGGCAGACACAACATGTCGCTTTTTACTGTGGAGGGGCGACTGCGCTGACTGATTGTATCCCTGCTTTAGACAAACTCTACATTTGGAGAATGAAGCGCGTCCACGACTGGAAAACTGTTCAATGCATCACTCGTCACTTCAAGAGGAGGCGTGAATTAATTTAGCTAAACTGTGACATGCTCATCTTGCAGAAATATTACCAACGATCCATCAGGTAATGTTTCCTCCCCCCTCTCTCTCTCTGTTGGTAAAGCGCTGTCAACAAATATTTTCCTCCATATCCCATAATGCACAGCGCATCGGCCAACGGCAGCTGAATTGGTTCGAAACGTGCAGCACTTTTTGCAGTTGGACCTGTTTTAGTACGAATCATATTCTCACCACAGACGAACCGCTCCAGAGTTCGTTTGAAAGCGTACCGAGACCACCTCTTTAAGCAGGTCTCGGTACGCTTATTTGGTCCGCTTTTGGTGTGCACTCGAGTACGATTGCTGCATTCACACCTGCCCAAACCAACCGCACCAACAGGGGAAACCAACTCAAGTGTGATTCAATCGAACTAAATAAGGCAGGTGTGAAAGCACTCTAAGAATATGTGGATTTTTAGACTAGAAACAAGACTTCAATTATAGATCATTTTGAATAATGGTGATGATGATTTTCCCGTAGTCGAGCAGCTCTACCGTGTGCTTTCTGCCGCTCACCTCACTCCTTTGGCCCACACGGCCTTGTTGAGGCGTGTATCGATGCGGACATCAGGAGTGCCCATCTCCTTCACTGCGAACTTGCGGATCTCCTTCAGGGCGCGAGGAGCTCTCCTCTTGAAGGAGCTGCGGGAAAACAACAGAGGAGCTGCGTTTACATACAAACAGGTCATCAAGAAACAGCAATACTGCACTGGTCATGAAGACAGCAGCACTTCCAGTCTGAGACGCATTGATGCACATTTCCAAAATGCCTGCACATCTTGATTTTCCATGAACAGTTCATACACATCTTAACTGCTAAAATTGGATGACTTTCCAGTACATTTTCTTGACCTAATGTTTCATGTTATGTATATGTGGTAAACAAGAAAAACAACGCATGTTCAAAGTTATTACAGCATGTCTTAAAACATGCGGCAATCTATTCTGTTTGAATGAATCTGTACATGTGTTTGGCCATGGAGAGAAAATAAGACAACTAACCCACATTTAATATGCAGTTATTTGTTAAAGTAATTTCCAGAACTTTTTCAGATTTACCAGAACTTTTCCAAGCAAAATTCCATGACCGTATAAACCATGCATTACGCATTACTTTATGCACATTTTGGATCATTGCATACAGAAATGTGCACTTAAACTCAGAGCAGTGTTTGTGGGCACTCACATGCCGTGGATGCGCTTGTGGATGTTGATGGTGTATTCACGGGTCACCACTTCATTGATGGCCGAGCGGCCCTTCTTCTTCTCGCCCTTCTTGGGTGCCATCTAAACACACATAACAACATCACAAAAGGTTAATTACATTTACACAACAGACACACTGAACGTTTGATTGTCAGATAAAATCACAGCTAAAGTAGTTCCAGCAGGTTTAGAGCGCATTACAGTTCCATGTTACTCCGCTGTATGATTAGAGTTATTACACAGCTACAACAGTAAGACATCACATCAGAAGTAGATCTGGAGGACACTAGACATTTGAGGAGGACAAACACCCGACTAATACACTCAACATACAACATCTGTACAGCGGATTTATCTGTGGAGATCAGAGAAGCACAATAATCAGCTCCGGCAGAGTGGATTATTAGAATATAAAGCACAGCTACGCGTATTATATTACTCCACACATGTAAACGCCATCTAAACACAAACACACATTAACACTTGACGTCACTATTAACCCATAACAAACAGGTTAACCTAAATAGAACGGTCTAGATCTCTTTCTAGATACCGTTTCATTTGTAAACATGAATTTACCTCGTCAGTAATGACTGACACGCTCAACCCGTACTCAAGTGCACTACACGGTGGCCCACTACCTAGCGAACTGCTGCATTACTCTCATTACACTACGAGCATAAGCTTTAGCCATGTAAACAGCGCTTATTATGGTGAACTGAGGGTTTATTTCGGTGTTTTACTGCGGTTTTCCCGCCGGTTTTGCTCTTTCGGCTCGTCAGACTGCGGCGTTTCAGAATGAACTCCATTTAAGCTCACATCTGTGATTAAACCCCGCCAAACCGGCGCTCGCTGATCGATAACGCGTTTCTACACTCATACACAGCAGCATATTTGATTATTAGTGATCGATAAGGCGGATGATGGTGGATTTATGAAACATGAATGAGAGAACGGTACTCACTCTGTGCGCTGGATGTGGAAAAGGAAGAGCGGTGGATTATGGGACACATACAAAGGCGGAGCGCGCGTTCACATCCGGGTCATACTAACGTTTGTATCATTCTGTTCTCAACCATAACAGCATGTAAAAAAAACATAACAGCATGTATGCTATAACTATGCCTGCATGTAACTACTTTATATATGCGTGAATGCATCAAATTTGATTTAAGGCGATTAGTGTAGTTTTGTGGTCAACTACATCTCCCATGGTGCTGCGCGCCGCACAGGAAGTGCTCACGTACACCCGCGACGGTTGTGAGTAGAAGTGAAGAAACACATTCAGGTTAAAACACTGAATAATTCAAACATTAACGCGTATTATATCGCGTTTGATCGTTATCTTTGTGCTGGAGTGTCGCCGTGTCGGCCCGCGTTGAATATTCATGATCTGCCGGGAGGTGATGAACACCGCTCAGGTAAATGTTATTATTACTCACTGTGTGTCAAAACACACCGAGCTCCCTACATAGACTGCTTATAGTGAGGTTTATTGATTAGGAGAGCACTAAAAAATTGACCAACAGTGTGTTTACTTAGACTTATTAGTGAATATAGTTCATATTTTGATGAAAACAGTCCTACAAGCCTTCTGACTGAGTGTTTGACTTCATTATCCACTATTACAGTTCTTTATAGAGTGTAATTAAGCTCATGCTTCATGTTTTTGCAATTAAATGTTAATGCTAAGAATATTTTAATAATATTTCATGATGAACACTAACTTTGTTTTACTTTGTCATCTATTTATGGAGTATTACACTTATGACTGTCATTCCAGAACCTTTGCTGTCTCTGTTCCTCAGTGGTGGAATGATCTAAAAACAGGGGTTCCCAAACCTTTCAGCTCGCGACCCCCATAATAACAGTGCCAGGGACTCACGACCCCCAATATTCTGTGAGGTGGTTATACAGTTAAAGTCAGAATTATTTGCCCCTTTTAATTTTTTACATTTTTTTTAAATATTTCCCTAATGATGTTTAACAGAGCAAAGAAATGTTTACAGTTTGCCTGATATTATTTGTTCTTCTGGAGAAAGTCTGATTTCAGCTAGAATAAAAGCCGTTTTTAATTTTTAAAAACCATTTTAAGGTCAATTATTATTAGCCTCTTTAAGATATATATTTTTCTCAATAATCTACAGAACAAACCATCGTTATACTATGACTTGCCTAATTACCCTAACCTGCCTAGTTACCCTAATTACCCTAGTGAAGCCTTTACATGTCACTTTAAGCTGAACACTAGTGTCTTGAAGAATATCTAGTCTAATATTATGTGCTGTCATCATGATGAAGAGAAAATAAATCAGTTATTAGAGATGAGTTATTAACACTATTATTATTAGAAATGTGCTGAAGAAATCTGCTCTCCCTTCAACAGAAATTGGGGGGAAATAAACAGGGGGGCGAATAATTCAGACTTCAACTGTATATATATATAGTCCTTGCACACAGCAGCGCAAATATACCAGTAGGCCCAAGTCTGTTCATCGTTTAATTTTGGAGAACGCCACTCGGAGACCATCTCCCATGTTCAGTTGAGACCTGTATTTATTTTTAATCTACCTGAGTGCTGTTTATGTGTCAGAAAGTTTAACCTGATGCCATAAAATCGCTGTGCTGCATCTGACACTATTGCTGTGTCTTTAAAATAGCATAATCAGCCGAGGGGTTGCAAACAAAAAGCCATCAGGGTTTAGATTTTTGTTTGCATGTTGTGTTTTTATTAAAGTTTATTATCAACATGTTAACGATGCTACTATCAACTACTATTGTGCTCTTCAGTAGATTATGGATGAAATATGGTCGCTCTAATTGTTTACTAAAATGAATTTGATTGTTGGACATCGATAAGTGACCCCTCCTCATTGTCCCGACCACCACTTAGGGAAACACTCAATGATCTAAAACATCTCAAATCCTCTGAGGATGGAGATTAACCATAAAACTAATAATCTGATCATAAATATTAATTGAATGTGTTATATGGGATGCTAAGTGATATTTGTTTCATTTATTGAAGTTAAACTGCTGTAAACCATCTTCGCACACGTCATTGAAATCCTTGATAGTTTGTGATAAAAATAAATCATCGAAGGCCCTGGAAAGTATTGAGGTGAAGTTGTTTTAATATTTGCACATTTTGACTTTCACCTTCTTAATGTCATTTCAGAATTTTTCATCATAGTACAACACAGTTGACGGTCAATTAAATAAAGCTGCTGTTATTTCAAAGTCTGACCAAACATTCAGAGTAGCGCGTCACAACCTTTTACTGTTCAAAAACGAATGAATGTGCAAATAATAATAATAATAATTTATAATTTAGGCTGTAGCGTCGCGGTGAGGCAGTGCATAGCACCTTCACCTCACAGCAAGAAGGTCTCTGGTTTGAGTCTCGGCTGGCTCAGTTGGTGTTTCTGTGTGGAGTTTGCATGTTCTCCCCGTGTTAGTGTGGGTTTCCTCCGAGTGCTCCGGTTTCCCCCACAGTCCAAACACATGCGCTATAGGGGAACTGATCAACTACACTGGCCGTAGTGTATGAGTGTGTATGGGTGTTTCCCAGTGATGGGTTGCAGCTGGAAGAGCATCTGCTGTGTAAAACATATGCTGGAATAGTTGGCGGTTCATTCCCCTGTGGCGACCCCTGATTAATAAAGGGACTAAGCTGAAAAAGAAAATGACTGAATGAATGAAAGTAAATTACTGAAAAAGAAAATCGCACATGTGACTAAATACATTTTCCAGTTCGCACACGTCTTTTTTTAATCGCATATATTTGAGTGAAATGGTTGCACTGTCGAGCCCTGTGAGTACTGCTATACCTCGCAGAACACCATAAAGCACTATTTATTTTACTTTTATCTTCTCTGTAGTGTACTTATCTTAGCTTGAAGATTGTTTATTATAGTTTAGGATGATTGTGTGTGTGTATGTGTGTGTGTGTGTGTGCGTGTGTGTGTGTGTGTGTGTGGGGGGGGGGGGGTTAGAGTAACTCAGCATCATGACTCTGGCTCATTAAGATCTGTCTAATCTGCTGTGTGTGTGTGTGTGTGTGTGTGTGTGTGTGTGTGTGTGTGTGTGTGTGTGTGTGTGTGTGTGTGTGTGTGTGTGTGTGTGTGTGTGTGTGTGTAGGGTTAGAGTGACGCAGCATCATGACTCTGGCCCCTAAGGATCTGTCTAATCTGCTGGGCATCATGTCGGAGGATGCGTGCAGCAGTAGTTTCGAGCAGCTCTCCTCCGCGTTCCACCATTGTTTCGGGAAGGCGGAGCACTTCGGCGTGGGCTCGGTGCTGGTGATGTTGCTGCAGCAGCCGGATCTGTTACCCAGCGCTCCGCAGCGGCTGACGGCGCTCTATCTGCTGTGGGAGATGTACCGCACCGAGCCGCTCGCCGCCAACCCCTTCGCCGCGGTGTTCGCTCATCTGCTGAACCCGTCCAGCGCCGCGGAGGAGCAGGAGAAAACACTGTCAGGTGCTGCTGCTGTTACCTGTTCATTTCTGTTTCACCTTCATCTCAATGCTGCACTTTAGTTATATTAATATACACTCACAGCACAAAAACTACAGGACACTACACACACACACACACACACGCTACAACACACACACACACTACATCACACACATGCAGCATATGTGACTGGATGGTAAATATTTGTTGGATTTTCAGTGAATGCAGTACATTTAGTTTGTTTTTGCGAACACTCCCAGTAAGCGTGTGTGTGTGTGTGTGTGTGTGTGTGTGTGTGTGTGTGTGTGTGTGTGTGTGTGTGTGTTGTGTTGCTGCAGGTTTCCTACCACCCATCACACTGCCAGAGAAGTTCTTCCTGTCTCAGCTGATGCTGGCGCCTCCACGAGAACTCTTCAAGAAGACCCCGAGACAAGTGTCCTGCATGGACATCACTTCCACACCGCAGACTATAGACATCAGCGGCCTGCAGCTCGCACTCGCCGGTAAGAACACACACACACACACACACACACACCATAAGAGCAGAGTGTGAAGGGTTCATCAGCAGAGGAGCAGCACAGTTCTACTTTAATACTGCACACACACTGCATTATGGGGACAGAGTGCTGCAGTGTGTCTGTGAGCGAGACAGCAGGTGTGTGTGATGTTTGAGAGCTGCGGTGTCCAGAGTAATGTCAGCAAACCACCAAGAGGAAGAAGCACATGCAGCAGGAGGAGCTGTGGAGGCCGGAGGAAGCTGCTAACCCTGACTGACCCAGAACACATCAGAGCTCAGCGGCCCGACTCACTGCAGAATGACATGTGCAGCTCCACTCTCCTGTGTCCAGCAGAACTGCTGCTCTGGAGCTCCACTGGGTCAGTATACATGACCCAAACCTCTGCTCACGCCGAACGCCGGCTTCAGTGGAGGAGCGGTGGGGATCTGGAGCTGTGGACGGTGTGGAGCGTGTGCTGATCTCTGATGATCCAGCTTCACTGTGTTTCCCACATGCGGGAGAGTTACGGTGTGGAGAAGCCCCACAGGAGCGGCCCACCCAGACTGCTGATGCCCAGAGTCAAGCATGCGGGGTCACTGATGGTCTGGGCTCAATATCATAATGTTCCCTAGACAGGTGCTAGATGGGCACTGGGTCGCTGCCAAGGAATACCCAACTATTCTGGAGGAGCATGTGACCCAATGGGTCAATCACTGTATCCTGAAGGTGTTGTTGTGTTAGGATGATGATGCAGCGACACACACAGCAGGACTGGAGACAGAGCGGTCTGATGAACATGACAGTGAAGCTGAACATCTCCCATGGCCTGCACAGTACCCAGAGCTAAACATTATTGAGCAGTTTGGGCTGTTTTGGGGGAGTGGGTCAGGAGAGGTTTTCCTCCAGCAGCATCAGCAGTGACCTGAACACTATTCTGAAGAAGAACCGCTCACAACCCCTCTGACCACTGTGCAGGACTCCTGTCTGACATTCCCAGCTGATGTTGGACTGAGGAGGAGGAGCTGCACCCGCTGATGTACAATTAATATAATATAGCACAAACATTCTCACATTCGTTTAGAATAAATCCAGTACAGCAGTGGTGTTATTGCAGATGTGTTTGAGGTGTTCAGTATATCTGTGCTCTACAGCAGTGTCTCCCTCTTCAGGACTGTCCAGTGCTCCTGATCCTCCAGTAATCTCTCCTCTTCTGTTCTCCGCAGAGCGTCAGTCAGAGTTGCCCACTCAGAGTAAAGCCAGTTTTCCCAGCCTGCTCAGCGACCCGGATCCAGACTCCTCCAACTCTGGCTTCGACAGCTCCGTGGCCAATCAGATCACAGAGTCTCTAGTGACAGGACCACGCCCTCCTCTGGAGAGTAAGATGATGATGATGATGATGAAGGTGATGTGTGTATTCTCCATCTGCTGATGGTGTGTGTGTTCCTCCATCAGGTCACTTCCGGCCTGAGTTCATCCGCCCCACTCCGCCGCTGCTGGTGTGTGAGGACGAGCTGTGCTGGCTGAACCCCTGTGAGCCGGAGCACCGTGTGCAGTGGGACCGCTCTATGTGTGTGCGCAACGGCACTGGTGTGGAGATCAAACGCATCATGGCCAAAGCCTTTAAGAGTCCACTGTCAGCGGCGCAGCAGACACAGGTACACACTACACACACACACCTCTACACTACACACACCTGTACACTGCACACTACACACATGTGATTACAGCAGTCTGTCTACCAATAAACGGATTTAAACTGTTCCAAGAGGTTATTCTGTATATAAAGTGGCGCTACACACCTGACCACTACATATACACACCTGTCCAGTCCATCTGAGCATGTGTGTGTGTGTGTGTGTCGTCAGCTGCTGGGCGAGCTGGAGAAGGACCTGAAGCTGGTGTACCACATCGGCCTGACCCCCGCCAAACTGCCGGACCTGGTGGAGAACAACCCTCTGGTGGCCATCGAGATGCTGCTGAAGCTGATGTCCTCCAGCCAGATCACAGAGTACTTCTCTGTGCTGGTCAACATGGACATGTCCCTGCACTCCATGGAGGTGGTCAACAGGTATGTGTGTGTGTTTGTGTAAGCTGATGTCCTCCAGCTGGATCACGGAGTGCTTGTACCTGCACAGTCTGCTGTTTAGTTTAGTGTTGAGGTCGAGTCCACCTTTGTCTAGTCCAGGTCAAGACCAAGTCCTTAACCAGTCGAGGCCAAGTCCGAGTCCTAAAGGGGCTGAGTAGGATTTAAGTCCGTCCGAGTCCTTAACATGCGAGTGCGAGTTGAGTCCAGAGAGTCATAAAATTCATTCATTCATTTTCCTTCAGCATTAGTCACTCATTTATCAGAGGTCACCACAGCATAATGAACCGCCAACTATTCCAGCATATGTTTAACACAGCAGATGCTCTTCCAGCTGCAACCCATCACTGGGAAACACCCATACACAAACACTCATATGCTACGGCCAGTGTAGTTGATCAGTTCCCCTGTAGCGCATGTGTTTGGACTGTGGGGGAAACCGGAGCACCCGAAGGAAACCCACACCAACACGGGGAGAACATGCAAACTCCACACAGACCCAGCCGAGACTCGAAACAGCAACCTTCTTGCTGTGAGGCCACAGTGATAAACACTGAGCCACCATGACGCTTAAGTCATAAAATTTAAAATAATAATGATGATAATAATAATAAGTCAAATATAATAAAAAAATAACAGTTGTTTAAACTGAATCTTTTGATCTATTTTTACAAAATGCCTTGTAATTTATTTTGTCAACTTGCTGCTAGTAAAATGCCTTTAGTAACTCAAGTGCTGAACGCATCAAAGCTCAAAAGTTTGAACAACAAGATCTCTTTTAGGGATGCACCGATATGGGTTTTTCGGCCGATACCGATAACCGATAATTCTTCAGACTTGGAGGCCGATAGCCGATATGTATAGGCTGATAATTACAAATATTTCAAAATGTTATATTTTTAAACAGCAAACTTCATAAAAGCTGAAACTCAGCTCTTTTGAACTGAATAACCTATCCTCAAAGCAAAAAAGCTTTAATTTCAAAATTGCAAGGTGATTATAGACCTATATTCACGATTTCACCCAAATCAGCATGCAAACAATACACCATTTTCTTCATAGCAAATTAACATGCAAATTGACTGTTGCATAAAATTAAAAAGATTAAATAACAAAATGGGATTTAATTAACAAGCAAGTTAAACATATTTTAAATAAGATGAAAATGAAAGAGCTAAGGACTAAAACCAGCTCAAATGTTCTTGAATAAAACGGGTTACAGTAATGTACATGTGTACAAATATGTCATGTCTGAAAAAGCCTTTTTTTAGAGGTGTTTTGACAGTTCAGAGCCACAGTACAAGTGAAAAGCTGGAAACAGGATGTATTATTTTAGAAAATGCGACACAAATTCATGCTATTTGGAGTTTTAAATTCTATTGAACACATGTAGCATCAACGCTTCTGTGTTCGTTCTTGCTGTCAATCGCGGGAAAATGATTGATGAAAAGTTTATGATAAACCGCTGTGAGGGCGCAGATTTGCCCTCGGAGTCAGATTTTGATACAAACCTGATCATTGAGCTCAGATGACTTTATGACAAACACAGAGCAGAATATAAAGACAGAACGTGTGGCCCGTATGCTGGATTCAGTGACCGGTGCACCTAGGCTCTCCCCTGCTGATCTGTGAAGGCTCAAGGCTGATGTGTGTGTGTGCGCGCGGGGTGACATCTCTCATGCGTGTTATAATCTATATTAATATTCCGATCAAACTGAATAAAATATTACAACAACACATGGAAAGCAAAGCGTTGATAACAAATAATCATATTAGATTACAAACAGCCCGACAAGTTTTTGTTTAGCACGTCACGTGTGCATGTCAGTTCGGTGTGTGTGTGTGTAAAGAGAAAAGGGAGAGACAGAAAAGAGGAGCGCTTTTTTCGCAATGAGACCAAGTTACACGTGTCTTATTCTGTTCGTTCACCGGCTCAACTAAGAGTTCTCCCCGAAATTAATATTATTCGCCCTGGAGTAATAAGTGAATCTCCCATGCTATCTCTAGCACAACAAAGAGAGAGCAAAGGCTTACATAAGTAATATTTTTTTCCTGAGGCGATTTGAAGCAAAATACACAATGACACCCAATCAAACACATCTACAATGATGAGGAGCATGGTTACTTACTGAGTTTCAACACACAGCAATACCACATGAAGAAAGGACGGACTTTGAAGGAATAATCAGTGTGAGGAGAGCTCCATTAGAGTGCACTGGGCAAGTCTGAACATGTTCCGCCCACGTGTGCGCGGCAGGCAGGTCTTTACAATTGCCTAATTTATCGGCTTAAAGATATCGGCCTAATTTAGACATCGGATCGATAACGATAATCTTAAAAATAGCATGTATCGGCCGATAACGATATGGCCTCCGATATATCGTGCACCCCTAGATTTTTTCCAGCTGTGGCGGCAGGTCTTTTGCACAAATCTACCAACTACCTATGGCATTAATTCAATGACAAATGTGGTGAGCGCAGTATTTATGCGATTCAAGCATGCGAATCTCTTTGCTTGTGTGCTGATTTCCTCTGTTCGTGCACAAAACTTCTTGCACGTCCTCAAATATACACTGCTCTAGCTCAGATCTTCTTGTGCGCTCTCAAATAAGCACTGCTGACATGTGATCTGGTGTTTATGTCTCCAACATTTCTGAATGTCTCCAATAGACCTGCAGAGCAGCATTAATGTGTCCTGAAGTAAAGTGAAGCGGCTATAAACTCCAGCAAGATGAAGTCATTATATGCAGAGCCACAGACCTCTATCTATAAATAAAGTATAATTATGATAACTGTGTTCATCTTAACTGAAAGTGACGTCGTGTTTGCTGGCCCCACACATCATGCACCTGTCAGTCAGTCAGTCAGCATGTCACCTTAAAGTGTTAAACAAATAACACACAGCACTGCTGCGGTTACAGAAAAGTTTGCTCTGTTATAATTCACTTACCTTTTAATATGTTTTGGTGCGATTATAACCTGCTAATAAAAACAACAACAATAACATGCCTGAATGTTTTGAATGAGAAGCTGCAATGTAGCCATGGCGGGATGAATTTTGGTGTGGCGCCCCCCCATGGCAGAATGAATGTAGCGAAAACCATGTGTATTTATATTTATATACAATTCAAGAAAATAAGCTCTTACCTTTTTTGTTTTCTTTCACCGTGTTGGTTGAAGTTAGAAGTCGTTCTAGTCAGTAGAAGTAACTTGCAAATAAATTCTCTGATTTTCATAAGCAAAACAAATTATTGCTAATTTTAAAGCCATTGTTCTAGAGCTAGCCATGCATTGTGTGATATGGCCATTTCTGGTTACGAGTTTAGGGAAAGGACATGCTGCTGCTGCCTGCCAGTGGGGTGCAGTGCCGGAGAGTTCACTAAACTCTTGTTATAATTTCATGCTGTTGTTTATTCATTTTTTATTCTCTTTATTAGTGTTGTGGATGATGTGGACTCGACTGTACTCGTCATGTTGTCCAAAATGTCCAAGTCTGAGTACAAGTTCACCCGAGTCCGTGACAAGTCCAAGTGCAATCAAGATTAGACTCAAGTTCACTAGAAATCATTGAAATCCTGCGAGATGTGACGTCACGCTGCTGTGTCCACTGCAGTAACTAAGTTACTGTCTTTCCTGCTGTTGTGGAAAGCCCCCTGCTGGGTTATTAATATTCAGTATATTAATAATGTTTTAGTTGTGGAACAGGTTTCACAATCAGTGTTTAGTGAATATACTGCAGGGTAAATGTGGCCAGTGTTACAGTGCTCAAAATATATGGAAAGAGTCCTAAAGCTATTAAAAGGTAATGAAGTTTACTCTGATTCCTGTTTATACTCTGAGTTAAGAGTGTGTGTGTGTGTGTGTGTGTGTGTGTGTGTGTGTGTGTGTGTGTGTGTGTGTAGATTAACGACAGCAGTGGATCTTCCTCCAGAGTTCATCCACCTCTACATCTCCAACTGCATCTCCACCTGTGAGCAGATCAAGGACAAATACATGCAGGTAAACACACACACACACACACACACACACCTGTCCTGTGAACCTATGATGCTCTTGGAGGAGACACATGTGACCTTTATCCTAATGGACACTAACGGTCAAAGGTTTGGGGTAATGATCTAAAACAGTGGTTCTCAAACGGTTTTTCATCAAGTACCACCTCAGAAAACAATTGTCTCTCCAAGTACCACCAAAATGAGCAGCATTGAAATACAGTAGCGCAGTAGGTACAGTAAAGCAGCTACAACTCTGCACAGTTAAAAAACGTGGCAGATTACCTCAGAAATATAGGCTATATGTCATACATGGCATAATATATACATCATTTTTGATCAATTTTGTAATGTGTGTAGCATGTACATGACATATTTCATTCCTCCGCGTACCACTAGAAGAAAGCCTGCGTACCACACGTACCACAGTTTGAGAACCACTGTTCTAAAATTATTATTGATTTGATTGATTAATTGTTGATTATTATTGATTATTAATTTAAATAATAATGATTCTGTTCATCACGTACACGTAAACAAAATGTTAAATTGTTAAATACTTATTACAATTTTAAATAACTGCTTTCTTACTGTATGTAGTTTCAAATGAAATTATTACCCCATTCATTATTGCATTTATTACTATTACCATTAATAATAATAATTAGGGGTGTAACGATACACTCAGCTCACGATACGATGTGTATCACAATATAATGTTCACGATTCGATATGTATCACGATATAATGTTCACGATTCGATATGTATCACGATATTTGGAATAAAAATTGAAAATTAAACTGAAATGCAAATTTTACCAAGTAAACTATTTTTATGTATTTCTTTTGTTTCAACTTGTTAAACTGAACCTTCTTTAAGAAAATAAATGAAACAGGCCTGTCTCTGGAAAATAAAACAATTAAAAAACTTCTTAAAAAATATTATTGAAATGACAGAGACAAAATTAAGGAACAATTTAAGTAAAGGTGCAAAAAAAATAAGCTTTCTATTCAATTGAATTTAACAGTAAGAGCTTAAGGCTTTACTTGGTCACTTTCGTTTTTTGTGTGTGCAATGAAAATCCACATTTCCAGGTATTAATTCATATTTAATTAAATTCATTTAGAGATATCTCTAATTACAATTGTGACTAATCAAAACTCATTTAGAGATATCTGAAAATATTTTTCAATGGAGGAATATGACTAGTCATAATATATTTGCAGATATCTCCAATCTGATTTCGTACTAGTACAATTGTAATTGCAGATATCTCTAATTGTCATTCTGACTAGTCGAATTATAATTATGACTAGTCAAAATATAATTAGAGATATCTCTAAATATATTTATGGATAGTCAGAACAAAGGTTTAAATGCTAAAACTGCTTGCCATACGCGCGCGTCTATCAGTCCGCCCTCTGTAGTAACTCACGGTCAGCTCACGTCATGTGTGATTTTGCGGCGGGAACATTATATGAAGACAGAATGATATTTTAGGGTGAATTGTACCTTATAAATACAGTATGTGACTCTTTCAACACCATTAGGAGGTATCCCTGTCGCTGTGCAAAGTATGTAAATCACTGTGAAGACTTTAAAACTTAGGATGTTTGACCCAGTATGCGTGTCAAAAAGCGGACGAGTCTAAAGCAATGACTGTACAACCGAAATGTTGCCAGACGTCTGATTTTGAGAGGATGGGCCATCCTCTATTTCAACTCCACTCATCTTGGTCTGCTAACATTACTGCTGCTGCAATCTGAACTCACGTGCGACAGCAGGTGGAACGTAGCTCACGTGCAAACAGCTCAACTAATAAGAGAAAACGGACGTCATATCGTAATCTAATCGTCATAACGCCACCATGCATATCGAGACATTTTTGCATCGCAATAAATCGTACAACGATAAATCGTTACACCCCTAATAATAATAATAATAATAATATTATAATAATAACAGTAATAATGATTAATATCAGAGTGACTTGTGAAGGATCATGTGACTCTGAAGACTAGCTAAAAAATCATCATTAAATCACTGGAATATATGATTAAATTAAATGATAAACCACTGTTGAGCACTTCTTTATTTTATTATGCAATAACATTTCACTATTTTACCATCTGTTCTGTATTATTGATTAAATAAATGCCAAACTTTAGACCAGTAGTGTATGTGTGTGTGTGCATATGTATATGTGTGCATATGTGTGCATGTATATGAGTATGTGTGTGTGCGCGTGTCTGAATATTGTTGTGCTTGTGTGTCCTGCAGAACCGTCTGGTGCGTCTGGTCTGTGTGTTCCTGCAGTCTCTGATCCGCAATAAGATCATCAACGTTCAGGATCTGTTCATCGAGGTTCAGGCCTTCTGCATCGAGTTCAGCCGCATCCGTGAGGCCGCAGGGCTGTTCCGGCTCCTCAAGACACTCGACAACGGAGAGACGCCGGCCGAGGGCAAGACCAGCAAATGATGGAGCGCTTCCTGAACACACACACCGCTGAACTGATCTGCTTTATGCTTTTTATTTATGTGCAGGAGTCGTGCAGAAACAGCCTGACTGTGCTAAATCTCCATGAAGACGAGCATTCACTGATGACTGAGGTATGATGATGACGACTCCTGTAGTCATGGCTCATCACTGACTCAGCGTTTTCATATTCGCTCAACCAAAACTCTGCAGATTCAGTATTTGGGAATATGGCTTTCAGTAACTCTGAGAGTGTCTGAGCTGAATCCTTTATTAACGGCGCTCAGTAACTCCATTTCATTTGTGTATATTTTCTCAATAAACAACGTTTCAAAGCAGCTCTTCAGAACATCTCTGAGAATGATTGGTGGAATTTCAGCCACATTTACAGGATATACATTATTTATTTTATATATATATATATATTTGTGGTGTAACGGATCACGTATCTCATGGTAGGGCTGCTCGATTTTGAAAAAAATCATAATCACGATTATTTTAAACGATTATCAGTTGAAGTGAAAATTATTAGCGCTCCTGGGAATTTAGTTTTTTTAAATAACTATTTCCCAAATTATGTTAAACAGAGCAAGGAATTTTAACAGTATTTCCTCTAATATTTTTTTTCTTATGGAGAAAGGCTTATTTTTTTATTTTAGCTTGAAAAAAAGCAGGTTTAAATATTTTGAAACCCATTTTAAGGTCAATATTATTAGCCCCCTTAAGCAATATATGTTTGATTGTCTGCAGAAGAATCTACTGTTATACAATGACTTGTCTCATTACTCTGATTAAGCCTTTGAACTGCACTTTAATCTGAATGCTTGTATTCTAAAAAACATCTAGTAAAATGTTATGCACTGTCATCACAGCAAAGATAAAACAAATCAGTAATTAGACATGAGATATCAAAACTATTGTGTTTAGAAATAAGTAAAAAAAAACTTCTTTCCATTAAACAGAAATTGAAGGAAAAGGGTTGCTAATATTCTGGAGGGCTAATAATTCTGACTATATATATATATATATATATATATATATATAGTTATTTTCCACCCTGCAATGGAAAGAGAAATAAATACAATACAATAAAAATATAAAACAAACTGTGCTTTAAGCATCTTCACCCTAAGAAAAACACTTTAGCTACAGAAATCCTTCAGTCAGGAGCAGTGAGAGATGTTCTCGTCGTTTGATTAATGATAAATCAGGCGGCAGCATTTCGCACTGTCACTTTAATGGTTTCTCTTTCACGTGTCTTTTGATTCTCAACTCGTTTGTTTATTACGCAAATGAGGGTTAATATGAATAATCACTAAACATCGTGTTTTGACACCTATTTGACCATTAAAGCGCTCATGTTAAGATTACTTTAGATGTCTGCCCTCCTCTGCTCGTCTTATTGTGCGAATGACACCGAATGCTGACTGCGTGCTTATGCGTGTGCGCGTGTTGCACACTCACATAAGCATGTGGTCTTTCTCGCTTTTGGTATATGATGCAATAATCGTTTTTCTCGATTAATGGTTTTTCATAATCGTTAGAAGCCATAATCGAAATCGAAATCAGATTTTCGATTAATTGCACAGCCCTATCTCATGGTTCAGATCACACTGTGGTTTTTGAGTCACGGATCAGCAAAATAGGGAGGAGACAAATGTTATTTGCTTTCCATTTATATTACTGCAAAACCCACTGGCTTTACCAAACAGATCCGACAACCTGTAATTTTACTACAAATAAAAATCAAGAAGTAAAATATTCAATACAAAACAAAAAGTTATGTTTGCTGATAATATTAAATATAGAAATCTAGCATCTTGATCAACAGATCATATTTATCTTCAATTAATGATTCAACAATTCACACATCAAACTTCAGGTTTCACTATCGGTGGATCATTTCTGAAAGCAAATTCAATTTACTTATTTTTGATGGCTGTTTGTCGCCACCTGTTGGTTACTCGATGTAGTTGCTACAACATTCACCAGTGTCAAGTTCCATTAAACAGTGATTTTAATCCCTACCATAAACACCAGTGTTCATATCTGAGCTATAATCTGTTCTCCAGCACTTCTGAGTTATATAATTGTTTGTAGAAATGAAATCTGTCTGGATCAAACGCAGATTTAACTGCAGCGCTTTGAAGGATTAATAAACATATGCAGATCATCATCATTTATCAGTCATGCTGCGCGAGTTTGGATTAAGATCACCATCTTTTAATGTTTATTAGTGCAGCTTTGCACTAAATGCATTAATGCAGGATAAACACACAGAGACAGAAACACCTTTAATTAACAGCCTAAAGGCTCATACACACCGGGACGCTTTTCGTTTGCGTTTATCGTCAGCGTTTTTCAAGATGTTTTACTGGATTCAAACCCAAGTGTTTTTCACTGGCGTCGAGCAGAAGAGCATGCAAAATCACTCCTTGATGTTAGATGGCGCTACGCAACTTTAAGCTTCTGATGCCCGCTTATAATACAGAGGAAGAGAGGAAGTTCACACGCTCTGAACTGTGGGTTGTGATCCGTTACACCCCTAATATATACATGCCGCTGGTAATATTGTACAGTAAGGTTGATTAGTGGACTAACCATGTGCATTACTTCTAATGGTTGATTTCTGCTTCTGCGTATGGTCCAGTGCAGCTTTTGTGCGGTTGCACACCCCTCGCCATGCCTGACCTCTCAAGAAATGCAAGTATGCATAGCGCAAGCTCTGTGATTGGTCAGCTTGGTCTCTGTGCCGAGTGTGAGCCTGATGGAGCGAGTGTGAAGGAGCTGCAGATGGACACTGCTGTTCTGTGGTCACCTCATGATTAAAGCTGCTGCACATCCTCCAGTTCCCGCCTCTGAATGAGCGAGTTTGAGCGACTGCTACATTACGGAAGCATTCAGAAAAAACAACACTAGCGAAGAAACTCGCCACAGAGGAACACCCACTGCCATCTAGTGTTCAGGAGAGTAACTGCAGAGCAACACACAGCACCAGGAGGACACACAGGGCAGGAGGAGAGTGTCACGCCAGCCTTAATGCACTCAAACATCTGTGTGTTCATATCAGCTTTTAGGAATCCTGTATTAACATGTTGCATCTGTTAGTAATATTGGAGATATTTTACAGTAAGGTGATGTTAACTAACATTATTCTACAGGGCTTCTGATTGGCTGCTGGTCACTCTCTGGTGATTGGTTATTGTCAGATTAAGGCACAGTAGTTCCAGCAGGTTTAGAGCGCATTACAGCTCTGTATCACTCCGCTGAATGATTAGAGTTATTTCACAGCTACAACAGTCAGACATCACAGCAGAACACAACAGGACTGGTTAGGGAGTTTGACTTGTAACAGGTTGCAGGTTCGATTCTGGCATTAGTTGAAGATGTGGCAGTAAATGAAACCACACTCTGAATATCAGCCATCTCTTAATTGATCCCAGGGCGCTGTGTGCTACAATCCAGCTCGCTCTTTAAGATCTCAACACTCAGCGCTTCTGGTTCTAGAATAGCAAAGTCCACTAAAGGAGGTCGAGTCTTCTCACTTATGGCTCCTAAACTCTGGAATAGCCTTCCTGATTATGTCCGAGGCTCAGACACACTCTCTCAGCTCAACACTAGATTAAAGACCGGTCTGTTTAGTAAAGCACACACACTGCAGCACATAGATGTAGGATCTACAGATGCATTCCTTCACATTTAATATCTCTTGTGCAAATAAATCCTGAACAGCAGCTACGCTAATTCCTTATTCTCCATTTCCACCTGGGGATACTCATCATCATGGAGTGCCACTCAATCTGATCCAAGACCTGTGAAGAGATGATGCCAACCATCTGGCATCTTCTAGAGACTGATCTTCTTAGAATGTAAGCTAAAACACAAACCGCTGCATCACATTCTGCATCTTCATCACATGACTGTGATGTTCGACTTGGCAAGCTGAAGCTCCAGGTCAAGTCCTTCACTGATTTCACCCAGAATGAGGAGACCTTTCCTTCAGTCAGCTGAAAGTCATCATGCAAATCTTTGAAGATGCTTGCTGGTTTCTTGCACAAGGATAAAGTCTTGAACCCCAACATCTTCCTTGATCTTTAGAGAGCCTCCTCTGGAAACAGCGTTCATACATGTCAGGAGAATTCTGCTTGTCCTTATTGAACCTCATGGCAGACTGTTCAACCAGTGAGCCAGTTATGTTTTGCATTTTTCTCACTAACACAGCATTTCCAAGCGGTAAAATAAACTATATATCGCTCTTCTGACCAGTGAATCCAGCTCGTGTAATCTAATTATCTAATCCAGGGGTGCCCAAACTTTTTCTCATAAATGGCCAAAAACCAAACTTGATTGTGGGCTAAAGTTAAATATACCAGACCATATTACCTTTAGTTTGCCATACATCATCTCTTATTTATTTGCATATCGTCAACATGGTTTCCGCGGGGTCTTAAAAAGTCTAACATTTAAACACTGATGTTTTAGGCCTTATAAAGTCTTAAATTGGCTGTTGTAGGTCCTACATATTCTGCACAGGTCTTATTTTTCCGACGTCCATGTAACGCTACATCTAATGCTCATTTCAAGAGTTCACACTTAGATATTGTTTGACAAATGTAAGCAGGTTTGGCATGCTGTCCCGGGAGAGAACCCTGAGCTCGGAGATAATTGAGCCCAGGGCTCCCGCCTGGTCGATTGAGCTTGTCAATGTCAGGTGGTTCTCGAGAGCTCCCTGTGGTAAAGGAGGATTGGGGGAGATGGAGGGTTTCTTCAGAAAATGAGGATAAGGGAGTAGTTTTAGCCGGGCTGCTTATAGTGAGTTTGGGTTAATCTGATTGGCTAACTAATGATTATAAATGAAAGACCAGATGTGGTCAATCACATCACATGCTCCTCTCCAAATTAGTTTGTGAAACTTCACGTAAATTCTCGTTGTTGTTGTTGTTGTTGGTTTTCGTGGTGTTGTAGTTTGTCGCTTGTCCAAATGTAATTTACAGCATTACAACTACAAATGAGACCAACATGCAACAGCCAATCAGCTTTCAGTTATTGAACTCAGTGCGCGCGGTGAATGTGACGTCATCGCTGTGTCTGTGGAAGTTCGCTTTGGGTGTGCGAATAGAAAAGATATCGCTGATAGATAAAATCTCATATTAACCCATTAAAATAATTCCTGAAGTTTACTATTCAGTCAAATGTACAATAATCTAATGTGCACTGCTATCAACAGCAACACTCTCGCAAAATACCCAGCTGACTCAGCCATTGCCTGACCACACAAATAAAGCGCACTGCGAAAAGCCAGTGCGGTGCACCTCAGGTGTTGAACGTAAATGTGTGTTCGGTGTGATCGACCGCTTGGGTTGTTGTCTTTAAAAGCAGCAATACCTTTTCTTGGCGTATTAGACCTTCCGCTTTCTGTCTGATATTGGTGAAGAAGTATTCTGTTGTTCATTCTTCCTTCAACACATGACGTTCAGAGACGTTTTTTTTTTTTTTTATGGTCGAGTGCATTTTAATACCTGAGAGTGTGTTCTAATTCTACTGGTTGCACTCACTGTAGCGTGTGCAATACTGCCATCACATGGTGTTCTCTTGTATTGCATCATTAATTTACTAATTCTGAAACCAAACCGATACCAATACTAGTCGAGCTGCTCCTGCCTTTGCCTTGATTTGCTCGCCGATGTCTTCTGCATTGTCCTCTATCGGTCAAGCGGCAGTATTTACTTTTCCAAAGTCTGATTCATTTACAACATTTAAAAGAAACATTTCATTTAGTTCATTTAGCTTTTTCTTCAGCTCCTCAAATAAACGAAATTTCTCGTTCGCTGCAGTCATTCTCCCTCTCTTCTCAGATGGCATGGCGGGCCAAACCAAAGGTTACCACGGGCCAACTTTGGCACCCGGGTTCTACTTTGGGCACCTCTGATCTAATCAAGCAGGGGATTTAGTGAGTGTATGAGGATAAAAACAGCACGAGTGAATTAACAGCAGGTTCAGAGGAAAGGCACAGAGCTGAGGCGCTCGCATGTTCATATTTATCTTTATAACAGGCTTGCATAACTTCAGAAGCATGTGTGTATTGTTATCCTCAGTGTTTGTGTTTGGTGTGAACAGACTTACATCAGTCCGTGTGTGTGTGTGTGTGTGTGTGTGTAAAGCTGGATTAAACCTCAAACACACACACTGGAGTTATAAAACATACTGTTTTTATTTGTGTAGCGGCATCTCAACATGTAGATTAAAATCAGAGACTGAATGTTTGTTTGCTGTCATTTAAAGAACGAAAATCAGAACATTCTGTACTGCACACACACACACACACACACACACACACACGACCTTTGACCTCCACATATTAAGCTTGATTGAACTGTAAGGTCTTGAAGACGATCATCCAGACTCATGGCAGCTTCTATGAATATATTTCCCCTGGTGAGTGTCCACAGTTCAGCGTGGCGTACTCTCTGAGCTGTTTCAGGCGTATAATGGAGTATAGGAGACGACCAGTGGAATGGAGATCCGCTTCTAGATCCTCCTCATTCCTCTGGCCATCAGACACGCAAACACCGTCATCACCATCTTGGGCTTCACCTCCACCAGATCCTCCGGCAGCGCATACACACGAGCTCCGATCTTACGCGCCATCGAGATCGCATACCTGAACACACACACACACACACACACACATGTGAGTTAAACACAGCTGCAGGATTCTGGCTTCAGTACAGCTTCAGCTACAGCACAGGAGGATTAACAGAATGGCCTGACTGGAGTCCTGCAGTGACGACTGCTACAGAGATACAGAGCCCATATCACTGGTTGAATATTGATGAATATGCTAATGAGGGAAGTGGGCGTGTCCTACTTGGCGTTGTTGAGCTTCTCTTCATCCGTCAGGTCCTCCGCCTTCAGCAGGTCGTAGCGGATGGAGCCCGGCTGGATGGCATCAATCAGGTCCAGCACTGGCATACTGCTGCTGATGGAGCCGTCCTGTGGGGGAGGGGCAGTGGGTCAGGGGAGGGGTCAGTGCTGTGGTTGTTGTAGTGGTCAGTGTTGGTCAGCAGTGTTTCTGCTCACCTTAAAGCCGCTGATGGTTCCTTTTCCCGCCTGTGTGAGTGTTTCGTTCACCCACTGCACAATGGTCTCATCGATGATCTTCTGCCCGTCGCCCAGATCCTCCAGGATGTTCAGTGTGTATCTGCAGACAGACAGCAGGATGATGGAGGTGAGTGTGTGTGTGTGTTTGTGTGTGTGTGTGTGTGTGTGTGTGTGTGTGTGTGTTTTACCTCCTCATGAGCTGCCAGAGCAGAGCCAGGGTCAGCGTGCGGTTTCCTTCATTCAGGTCCTGTCCAGCGATGCCCACCAGAGAGAACTTGGCCTCCTTCTTGCCCAGCTCCACCGCATAGTTACAGTTCTCCAGCTGCGGCGCACAACACACTCATCAACATGCATATAATATATGGCACATTAGACCAGGGCTGCATCTGAAATCATGCATGTGAGCCGAGCGGTATGTCTGACTTCATATTATTGCAAAAACAGTGTATGAGATGTTCCCGGATGACCTACTGTCTCCGCACAGATTCTGTTGTGTGCATCTGATAGACGTTACGTTATAGTGCACCCTGAGAGAATTCATGAATGAAAGTGAAGTGGGGAGGTCATGTGATCATGACTAAGGATGGATGGCATATGAGACCCGAGTTCCATTCATACTACATAGAGCACACATTCAAATGTAGGGCATAGTGAGCAGCACAGTGGTGCCTGACCATGCTTCTGGAGGTCACCTTCCTGCAGAGTTCAGCTCCAACCTTGATCAAACACACCTGAACCAGTTAATGAGGAGCAGATGAGCACCTGACCATCACAGGCAGGTGTGTGTGTGATCAGGGCTGGAGCTGAACTCTGCAGGAATCTCCAGTAGGTCTCCATGAACAGGTTCATTGGTCTGTTCTGAGTGATAATGATTATAACATCTCCATCTTTTCTTATTAATCATTTGGCACTACTCAAAGTGTGTGAGATGAATGCTTCTGTCAGATCTCATGCCTGAATGAGGATGTATGTGCGTTGCCTAACCCATCTGAATGTCTATCCCAGCAGCAGGAGTGTGTGCAGGTGAAGGTGTTTGTTAGTGTGCTGCAGCTCAGTCACCTTCTTCATGTTGCTGCCCAGTTTAGGATATGGTGGTTTGTTGACCTTGTCCCAGTCCACTGGAACCTTGATCTTCTCATAGAGCTGGAAGATCACCAGCGCATCCGCAAGATCCCTGAGGAGCAGGAGGAAGATATCAGGTGTGTGAACAGTGTGTGTGTGTTGTGTTGTCTGGAGAGAGTGTGTGTGTGTATGCAGGGGTTCAACACTCACACATAGAGATGATTGACTCGTGGATTGACCCCCAGTGAGTTCATCCAGTTTCTGAAGGTCCGCTCCTCTCTAGTCTCTCCTGACAGAGACACAACAGAGACACAGGTGAGATCTGACCCCTGACCCAGCCCAAGCAGATCACAGCACACACAAAGGTAAGGTCATGGGTTTGATTCCAAGAGAATGCACGAAGGTCTACAAGAGGTTCCTCTGAATAAAATGTGTACATTTAGAAAATGCGCATCAAGACTTTATAGCTCACAGCGGAGTAGGATGAGTCACCAAACTTGTTCCTGGAGGGCCGGTGTCCTGCAGATTTCCGATACAACCCTAATCAAACACACCTGAACACGCTGATCAAGCTCTTACTAGGTATACTTGAAACATCCAGGCAGGTGTGTTGAGGCAAGTTAGAGCTAAACCCTGCAGCGACACCGGCCCTCCAGGAGCGAGATTGGTGACCCCTGGTCTTGAGCATCTGTCTGCGCTCCCATCTCACACCTCCAGAAGCCGCCGTGTTCATTGCGTTTGGTCTTGGTGTTCTGAGGCGCAGCTCATTTATTAGAGGAGATCAGACAGTACAGTGGAGAATCCCCTCAGTGCAGCAGACTCCCCGTCTCTCAGTGATGTCTGTGCAGGAGCTGATGCTCTACTGTATAGACGGAGACGCTCATCCACTCACTGATGATTTATGCAATATTATAATTCACATCTCTAAAAGCAAACACGGCTATTGAGCTCCGCTGTGCTGTTGTCAGTATAGTGTAAATCAGTGAGAGCTGAAACTTGTGGTCTGTTTTACAGGACACAATACTGAATGCTCCCCTCTCCACATGCGTGTGTGCAGCAGAAGTGCTCATAGTGTGTAGACTCAGAGCGCAGTGAATAGGAGAGAACAGCACATCATTATTCTCCACTCCTGTTAGCTGAAATAACGACTCCAGGATGGTGTTAACAAGACTTTCAGAAAGAGGAAAACACTAGTGTGAGACTGATAACAGCAGCCGGAGGAGTGAACACTGTCAGATTTACTGTCCTGCACACTGCAGTACACACACCTTACACTAGCGGGAGCTCACTGTCTGTCATTTGATGCAATGATAATATAATCAGTGGTGAAACTTAACACATTACAAACACTTCAGTGACTGGAATTGAGTAGTTTTCCCTTTAGGAATTGTACTTTAATAAGTAGTTTCATAAATGTGCGCTTTCACTTTCTCTTGAGCTCATGTTTACTGCAGTATCAGTGCTGTTACTCCACTGCTGTCCTTCATCCTGCAGCACTACTGGATTTACTCTCGTCTAGGAGGATTAGAGAGATCAGTGCTGAGATTCCTGAATCATACTGAACTCCCTCAAACTGTCTGGAAGCATTAAAAGTGCGAGAAGACGACCAAACTCTGTCCACACACTGACCCAGAGACTGTTAGAGGAGGCCACTGATGAGAAGATGACGGATGTTTACTGTATGATGACTGAAATAACCTTAAACATGCAGCAGCACAAGACAACAACATGACGTCAGCTTGATGCTGTACCCTAACATCATGGAGACGCGGCATTTTATTTGGAAATGAAAATCAGGTTAACGTCAGAACTCAACATCAGGCCGACATCACTGTCCAACCTAAAAGCAACCAAATATCAACGTCTAATGATGTGACAGCTTGACGTTGTGTGGACGTTAGCACTATGACGTCTATCAGATGTTGGATTTTGGTTGCCGTACCTGATGAATGAATGTCAGTATGTGACGTCAATATGACGCTGGTTTAAGATGTCGGATCTACGTTGGATTTTGGTCACTTTCTAACAACCTAAAATCAACCAAATATCAACCTCATTATTGGACATTAAAATAGTGCTGTCCTTAGACGCTGGCTAGATGTTGAATTTTGGTCACGTGACATCACAACCTAAATCTAACCTAATATTAGCATCTGATGATGCTGTGTGTGTGCTGGGCATCCACTAAATGCACTACAGAATGTTACGTTTACACACTCATCCACAATGTGAACACATCAGCTTTATACAATGCTCACTACTCTTGAGTACTTCTGAAAGGGTCTACTATTTACTCATACTCTGACTAGTATTCACAGCAGACACTTTACCTCTCCTGCATTACATCTATAGGTAAGCGCTGGTATATGGAGTATGATTTTGCTGTGCTCTGTCCACCGCTGGATATAATACACACATGAACACATGTAAATGTTCAGATGTTTAATAAAGCACTAGATGTGAAAGAGTTTCAGGGGTTTAAGATGCTGATGAGTGTTAAGCGCGTCAGTGTTGTGTAAAGCGTCCACGCCGCCGACAGACTGAGGATCCTCTGTGTTCTGAGACTCACCCTCAATGGAGCTCCAGTCGATGTCCTGGTTTTCGGGCTTCTTCAGAGCGGGGTACTTGTTGAAGAGGTTGGCCACGTAGGCCAGGTTGAGTTTGGGGTTTCCGCGCACCACATCAGTGGCGGTGACGAACTGCCGGCAGCCGAGCCGGTCCGCCTGCTCCAGCATACACTCCGCTCTCTTCAGGTCATCTTTCTCCTGCCGGCGCACAGACGGAGATATTAAACTGTGTGTGTGTGTGTGTGTGTGTGTGTGTGTGTGTGTGTGTGTCAGACATGCTGAACACAACACTGAGCATCATCAGCTGCAGAATCTCTCACCCGTATGCCACTGATGTCGATGGGGATCGCTGGGATTCCCTCTTCATCTCCCTTGGGTGCCACCTGGTTCAGGATGTTGTAGTAGGCCTTGGAGTCCTGCACAAACCAAACGCTGAGTTAAAGGAGACCTGTTCTGCCTGTTTGACCCGATTCATAAGTGTCTGCACAGATCATGTTCTCCAGCTCTCTGACACTGACCCGTTCAGGCTTTGATCCTAATCCTGGAGTTTTGGTGACTGTCGCTTTAAATGCAAATGAGATTGTGGTGTTTTCAGAAGAGGGCGGAGCTACAGACGGTTGTGTGTCCCCATAGTGACAGATGTAAACAGCAGTGTGTGTGTTGCGTAGGTGCCCTTTATGTGTTAGCAGGAGTCCATTAGGTTGGTTGATGAACAGATAATAATAACAGTGGCTGTTGCTGAATGTCTTGACAGCATCTGCTTCTGCAGGTGTGTGTGTGTGTGTGTGTGTGTGTGTGTGTGTGTGGTTTTATCCCGCAGTACCTTAATATCTGAGCTGAAGTTGTTGATTTTGGGGCATCCGGCCTCCTCCAGGTGATAGTTAGCCCAGCGCAGCAGCAGCTCCTCCGGGGACAGCTTGACCAGATCCTCCAGACTCTCTCCATCCCTCAGCAGAGCGATCAGAGCTGCACACACACACACACACACACACACACACACACTTACAAAACATTGGTTCACACTCCTCCTCATCTCTCCACTGACACACAGTTTTTTCTCCTTGAGACTAAGGCGGTTTTCCAGACCCTTTAGCTCAGGGGTGTCCAAAGTCGGTCCTAGAGGGCCGCTGTCCTGCTGAGTTCAGCTCCAACTTCCTTCAACACACCTGTCTGGAGGTGTCTGGTATATCTAGTCAGAGCTTGATCAGCTGCTGCAGGTGTGTTTGATTAGGGTTGGAGCTGAACTCTCCAGGACTGAGTGTGGACAGCCCTGATGTAGGGTCTCTGTTCCTCTGTGGTGAAGTGAGCTGAATGAACTCTTCCACACACACACTCACACTCATTATACACACACACACACTCACACTCATTACACACACACATTCACTAATGCATTGTGTGTCTGAGTTTATTAGTGTGTACCTTCGTTCCTGCTGATCTCGATGTCTGCGAACAGGCCGATCTTGATGACCTGCCACAGGAGTCCCAGCACTAGATGCTGCCTGCCCTCCTTCAGGTCCTCTGCGCCGATGTTCACCACGTGGCAGCCGATGGCGGAGGCAGAGTTCAGGGCCAGGTTCAAGTTCTCCTGTTAGAGACGGTGTTTGAGATACAGCAGAGTGTGTGTGTGTGTGTGTGTGTGTGTGTGTGTGTGTGTGTGTGTGTGTGTGAGCTGCAGTGGTGTGTGTGTGTGCACCTGTATGGTGAAGGGCGTCAGCTTCTTCTTGTTGATGGTCCTCTCATCAATGGTGTCGGGCACAGACAGGTTGATCATCTTACTGCAGAGAGAGAGAGAGAGAGAGAGAGAGGGGTGTGAGCTCAGCGCTGCAGTACCGCGCTCTTCCTCAGTTTCACTCTGCCATCACTGCTGTACCAGAGCACGATGCCGTCTCCCACCGCCGTGAACAGGTCATCAGTGCTGGGGTCCATCGGCAGAACATGCTGGCAGTCTGGGTCCTTCTCCAGAGCCTTGTTGACCCAGTTCACAAACGCCACCTTCTCCTCCTCTGCGCGCACACACACACACACACACACACACACACACACACACAGTTAGGTACAGTAGATTCGAGTGCAGATACAGTAGAGTAGAGCAGAGCGGAGACTCACCGGAGTATGAGTGCTGTGTTCCCGACTGCTCGGATGTTCCGGCCACTGAGCAGATCCCCTCCTTCTTATTGATGGCCTTCCGGAAGGTTTTGGCCACCTCTGAACTCTTTAAGTCATGAACCACCTGAAATGCACACACAGATATTTCTCAGCTTCTGTTTAACAGAGCAGATTACTCCAGCACATCTCTGCTCATAACAGTGTTCATAACTCATCTCTAATAGCTGATGTGTTCCTCTTCTCCATGATGACAGCACATAATATTAGTCTAGATATTCTTCAAGACACTAGTGTTCAGCTTACAGTGACATGTAAAGGCTTCACTAGGGTAATTAGGGTAAAGTTAGGGTAATTAGGCAAGTCATTGTATAACAGTGGTTTGTTCTGGAGACAATCCAACACTAATATTGCTGAAGGGGTGAATAATATTGACCTTAACATGACTTTAACACTGTTTAAAACTGCTTTTATTCTAGCCCAAATAAAACAAATAAGACTTTCTCCAGAAGAACAAACATTAGAGGAAACACTGTGAACAACTCCTGAATCTGTTCAACATCATCTGGGAAATATTTAAGGAAGAAATCCACAGGAGGGGAATCATCTGACTTCATCTGTATATGCTGTAATCTACATACAGTTTCCCCATCAGTATAAATCTGCCTTCATCAATAATCCTGATGATCAAATCTGCATATCAGAATGATTTCTGAAGGATTAGTGTAGAGTTATGATGCTGAAAGATCAGAAGACACTAGTGTTCAGCTTAAACAGACGTTTAAAGGCTTCACTAGGCTAATGAGGAAAGTCAACAGTGGTTTGTTCTGTAGACAATCAAAGAAATCATTAGTTAAGGGGGCTAATATTATTGACCACAGTAGAGCGGCGGCAGTACAGCGCACGGCGGTAATGGTCATTTTAAAGTATCACCTACTTTATATAGAGGAGTAAACCTTAAACTGAAATAAACCTGTATAAAACCATATAAACACATGTGAATAAGCTAACATATGCAGGAAAATATCTGAAACAGACCAATCCTCTCTCTAAACTCTGTTTGTGCCGTCTAGTGGAAAATGAAGTGCTTTAGTGAGCTTTGGTGGCCTTCTAGTGTGACTGGAGGAGTGTTTATGACTGTTATGGTTCAGAATATGCGTTAGTTTAGTTCATTATATTCTCTCTGTCTCTCCTGCAAACTGTGAAGACGTCTCAGGAGGTCAAACTTGCTGCAATTATTGAAGTGAACAGAGGTAAATCAGCTGTATAGTAGTGCTGCTGATAATAATCATAATGAACAGAGTGTTGAAGAGTCATCTCTCTCTCTCTCTCTCAGACTGTGCGCTGTGAGCTGTGCGCTGACCTTGGCGAACTCGTCGAAGGTGATCTTCCCGTCCTGGTTGAGGTCCATGGTCCTGCTGATCTCCTGGATGATTTCTCGAACCCGGTACCCCGGCAGAGGGAGATTGGCGGCTTTAAACAGAGCGTTGAGCTCATCTGTGCTGATGTGACCGTTCCCATCCACATCTGCAGGACAAGGTCAAAGGTCAGGCCTCATATACACACTAATGACTTATTCTGTTAACTAAAATAAACTTTAATTTAATAAACAGAAATGAGTTGAATAGGATTGTGTGTGTGTGTGTGTGTGTGTGTGTGTGTGTGTGTGTGTGTGTGTGTATGTGTGTGTGTGTGTGTGCGCGTGTGTGTGTGTGTGTGTGTGCGTGCGCACATGTCTCTGTACTGACCGACTTTAGTGAAGGCCTCTCTGAGCTCCTCCATCTCCTCCGCTGAGATCTGTGCTGCTGCCATCTTCAACCCGCTATGATGATCACCTGATGACCAGAGGACTAGTTAGAGTCAGAACACTAGTTAACCGGAGTCAGGTCACTAATTAACCAGAGTCAGAGCACGTTGATCAGCAGGTGTGTGAGTGTGAGTGAGTCTGCGCTCCTCCTCTGTCCTGCAGTCAGTGTTCAGTGATGATCAAACCTGCAGCTGCTCAGAAGACTTTTCTCAATGTTTCAGTATTTGTGTTATCCGTCTCCGGTTATTCGATTACCCTAATATCTAAGTATAAGTGCGCTGCTCAGAGTTACTGTGGAGAAGAGGTTAATGAAGGCAGAGCAGATCTCCAGCAGTGATGTGAACTCATCCTTAACCCAGAGCTCTGTCTCTCTCTCTCTCTCTGCACAGATTTATTCTCCATCCTCAACAGAAACGACCCATCATGCAGATTACCCAACTGGACAATCCTGCTCATCACGCTTCCTCAGGTCAGCTCACACATATCAGTTTCTGTCAGTTTCTGTGGGTCGCTGGGTTCACAGCTTCTCTGATATATATATATGTATACAGTGTTGTGTCAGTGTCTCACTGATTGCTTATTTTTGGCATGTTCGTCACACTTTAACATTTCAGATCATCAGAGTAATGTCAGTGTTAAAGATGATGAAGTAATCACAGCATGCAGTTTATAAATGGAGGTTTTTATTATTAAGGGAAAGGAAAATACCCCATAGCCCTGTGTGAAAAAGTGTTTGCCCCTCCTGTAAAAACAGAACTGAACTCTGCTTCACTGCAGAGACATCAGTAAGGGGCAAATACTTTTACACACCGCTGTTCCTGTATGTAATGCATATAGAGTGTTTGTATTTGCGGTGTAATATGTGTATAGTGATGTATTGTTCAAGCTGATAGATTGTGTGTCTTGTTTCTTATGCAAACCAGTATCTGCATCTTATCAACCACAAAACCCAACACTAACATACACCTATACAACACGAGATATCTGCATCATCTGAAAGCTGAATGAATCATATTTCATGTTCGTTAAGTTGGAGAATATTTGTACACAACTACTGCAAATCTGAAATATTCATGTTGAAGAAATCTTAACTCTGAGGAAAAGTGTGCAGATTAATGTGTATTACCACACTGCAAAACATGCTTTTCTTACCTAGATTTGTTGTCTCGTTTCTAGTCCAAATATCTACAAATTCTTAAATCAAGAAGCATTTTCTAGACAAGCAAAACATATAGTCTTGTTTTAAGAAATAATATGCCAAAATGAAGAAAGGTTTCCCCATTGTCAGATTATTTTGCTTGATTTAAGGAAAACTTCACTTCATTTTTGCATATTATTTCTTAAAACAAGACTATATGTTTTGCTTGTCTAGAAAATGCTTCTTGATTTAAGAACTTTTAGATATTTGGACTAGAAACAAGACAAAAGAAATGTAAGTAAGAAAAGCATTTTTGCAGTGCAATCAACAAGTGAGCTGTGATGTATTTACAGTAATCCGGCTAGTGTTGAGTCTCGCAGATCTCTGTTACAGTGATATTCTCTCCAGGATGCTCTACTACAGTGATATATCTGCAGATACAGTAGATTAGTCAACCAAAGACAACACTGAAGAAAAATATCACGGTATTGTGATTACCGCTCTAAAATATACTCTTTAAATGTCTGGGTAAAAAAAAAACAACAACTTTGAACACCGTATATTTAGTTTTGAGAAACATTTCTGATATTTAGGAGCAGTAATCATGTAAGGTTAAATAATTATTATGAGTCATTGACTTCTGCCGTCTCGGTTTGTTTTAAAAACGCAGATTTCTGTACCATTTAAAACAGCATCTTTGGAGATGTTTTCTGCTGGAGATACTGCTGTCTTAAAACAAATGTAAATTAAAAATCTTACTCATCTCATACCTCAGGAACAGTATTGCAGAATATTTTGGCGGTTTTAAAACCTTGACTTTTCCTTGAAAACAGTGATCATCTCCTGCCTATACGCCACACACACGTTAATATAATGGGGTAAATATTTAATATACATTTTAAAAAGAGCAAAAATCAAAAGTAAAATATCTCAAATATTGCTAAAAGTTTGTAGTTTTTTTTTTTTTTGGATTATTTCACCTGAATTTAAATGCTTGATCTGTCTATTTCTGAAGATGTTCAGTGACTGCAATATTATTTATAAAAAACTCAGTTTAATAAATCTCTTTAGTTCCAATGCTCTAAAATCTAGTCTATATTCACTGAGAAATGGATAAAAATGGTCATTTTCCTAATGCGCTGTACTCGTGCATGCTGAGCACTCTATAATACATTACTACTGTAGGTCACACTTTACTTTGATGCTCCAGTTGAGTATTAATAGACTGTCTGCTTAATATCTGCTGATTCTGCTCCTTCAACACACATTTAATTGACTAGAAGAAACTTTGCAAGTACATTTCAGCTTACACTAACCCCAACCTAACAGTCTACTGATAAACTGTTGAGAATTAGTTGGCATGTAGATGCAGTGCAACTTAAATACAACAAACAGACCATCAAAATAAAGTGTGACCCATTACTAATGCTTCTTGGCATCTAAGAAAAACAGATATTTCAACACAATCTCACGGCAATTCGTAACTTTTTCATTTAGTGGCTAATTCGTATGAATTCGTACGATCTAATTCGTACAATTTAGTACGATTTGCTCATCCCCCAATGACCTTTGGGTTTAGGGGTGGGGTTTGATGCCACGCCTCCTTTTTAAAATCGTACCATTTCGTACGACTGAACTCGTATGAATTAGCCACTAAACTGGCAAAACGTAAAATACTTACGTTTTCTCGTGAGATCAGGCTGATTTGTGACCTATACAGTGCAGTTTTGACTTTCGCCAAATAAATACACATAATTAGACTCTGGGGTCACAGATGATGTAAAGCATCAATCCTTAAAGGCACAGTTCACCCACAACTCAAACCTCTGTCTTCATTTACTCTCACATCACCTGTTGGAAACCTGTTTGAGTTTCTTCCTTCTGCTGAACACAAAGGGAGATGTTCTGAAGAATGCTGGAAACCGGTCACCATTGAAACACAAATACAGAAGATAGAAACTCAAACCGGTTTGGAGCAGGCGGAGAATGAGGAAACCATGAGCTGATCAGTTTTGGCTGCACTGTGCCTTTAAATGCTACTTCCACTTTTCTGAATAGATCAGAAAATGTCATGTTTAAATATAAATATTGTGAGACTTCAACACTTCAGTGTTCAGATCTAAACTGGGGCTCGACTTCTTACACGTCAGCATTTTAATTTCTCTTTTGCTTTATTTATTCTTCATTAAGTTGCCAGCCTCTGCCATGCTGAAAAAAATGCAGAGTTCCACACAGTTCATTCACACTGTCCCAACACAAATCCATTAATCTAACTTAACACTTTAACAAACTTATGTGGATTGAACATACAAAAATTAAGTTAGCCCCAAGAAATCTCAAGAATTGTGTTGATTCAGCTCGATTTAAAAAGATGTGAGTGCAGTTGCAGTATCTTTGATGATTTCATCACCAATATTGAATATTCAGAATATTTTCTGCTTGAGCTGAATGACTAAATTTGATCTTCTTTACTGTTTCTGTCTTCTTTCTCTTCTATCTTCATGCATTCATGATTTATCACCATCGTGATGCAGATAGGCTTCATCATAATGCCATGATGACAGTACATAATGTGCAGAATGTATAATGCTAAATAATTTCCCCCGGCTTTATTCAATTATAGACATTTTCAAAAATGTACAAATATCACACATTTTGAAATATTATTGTACATTTAGAGAGAGAGAGAGAGAGAGACGTAAACAAGGATCTAAATCACAGGTGTCAAACTCAGTTCCTGGAGGGCCGCAGCTCTGCACAGTTTAGCTTTAACTCTCAATACACACACCTGATCAAACTCATTGAGTCCTTTAGGTTTGGTTGAAACCTACAGGTAAGTGTGTTGGAGCAGGGTTGGAACTAAACCATGAAGAGCTGTGACCCTCCAGGAACTGAGTTTGACACCCCTGATCTAAACAATTGTGAGATAATTAATGCATAATATTAGACTAGATGTTCTTCAAGACACTAGTGTTCAGCTTACAGTGACATGTAAAGGCTTCACTAGGGTAATTAGGGTAAAGTTAGGGTAATTAGGCAAGTCATTGTATAACAGTGGTTTGTTCTGGAGACAATCCAACACTAATATTGCTGAAGGGGTGAATAATATTGACCACAGTGGTTGTTAAAAACATTTAAGATATTTTTAATGCCACCAAAACTAAAATAAATCAGGCTTTCTCCAGAAGAACAATCTAATGGGAAATACTGTGAATAGTGTCATTTGCAGTGAGCAGATATCTGGATATGAGCAGTTTTCGGTATTTTGTGACTCGTCTTTTTGTTTCCCACATTGTGGAGTTGCATTATGGGATTTTGGTCTTTTATCATTGATAAGTGTGTATAAGTGACTTGTCTGCACTTGTATAATAGTTTGCTGTGCTATATTGGTGTTGTGTGGAGCTTATTCTTCAATGCTGAAGTGCGGCTGTATTCGCGATTGTTTTAGAACGTTCAATTCAGCTGCCTCAGGGAGACATGACTATCGGAATAATAAACTGCAGAAAACTCGTCGCTCAACACACAAGTGTGTTCATGACTATACAGACAGAGCGGAATCACATAATAAGGAAAGATCCGTTTGCGAGATCAAGCAGAGCAAGCTGTTTTCAACATCTGGAAATAACTGCAAGTGAATGAGACTGGAAGATTCCAATGGTAAGAAGGTCGCTGGGTCGCTGGTTCGATCCTCGGCTCAGTTGGCGTTTCTGTGTGGAGTTTGCATGTTCTCCCTGCATTCGCGTGGGTTTCCTCCGGGTGCTCCGGTTTCCCCCACAGTCCAAACACATGCGGTACAGGTGAATTGGGTAGGTTAAATTGTCCGTAGTGTATGAGAGTGTGTGTGTGTGTGTGTGGATGTTTCCCGGAGATGGGTTGCGGCTGGAAGGG